TTTGCTGGGTGAGTATCTAACTTCTATAGCAGACGACGAGCAGGCCGATGCAGATGAGGCCCCTGTTGAGCTAGATACTGAAAATGCAGCGTGCCGCGACTTGATGACGTTTGCTGGAGGGCCTGGAGTGGTATTTTTTCCTTATGTATAATTGGTTTTGTTTTCACGATTGTGATCGCGTAGATGATGTGCTGACATATTGGCACTCAGTAGGCTTCTGGTTCTGCTTCATTCGGAGGAGCATTCCCGCAGCCGAGAATGGGGAAAAGCATTCTCGGCACGGGTGACGTGCCCGTCTATGCTTACTCAGACTCGGTTTGCAGTCGTCTGCTTGTTCTGAATGCGCCGCGAATAGTTCTAGGTTTGGGATTGGGCTTCATTATATTTCTGTCCATAGCAAAGAGTCCACTCCTCTTCCCCCTACGGATAGGCGTGCTCGTGGTAGAGATTATTGACAACTTTCCCTCGTGACTCAATCTTCATGGTTCGGGATTTATTTGATCGTGACAGACTCCAGGTCCATTCTCTTCTACCTATCACACAAAGCAAGGGAGAGCCCTTGTAGAGTCTGTCTTGGTCAGCAGCTACAGGTGGAAAGCAATGAGGCCGGATCTTGATATTAGTGCTGTGCACTCCTTCGCTGACTATGGATATAGGGCCTAGCCCTACTAGTGTTAGAAGCTATTGTCTACGACAGTTATGCACTTGATAAAACAGTACTCAACTTTCCCCCTATAAGTACGTCGCACAACTGCACACACAGGACTCCGAGGCAGCCGAACCGGACGACGCTCTCCGAGCTTTGTGGAGCTCAACGACGATTGCAAACGGTGTTGAGAGCTGGAAATTTCCGAGACCACGGGGGAGCCGCTTCGCGATGGTTTATCCTATGGGCGATCTGAAGGAGAAAGTCGACGTGTTCAATCGAGAGCACAAAAACGATGGTGAAGACCATGGTCTTTCGCTGCATCCAGGCGCGAAGCGACCGGTGGGCGCTTCGGCACCAGCCGAGGAAGCCGGACCAGACCGCACGGAGGTCGTGGCTGAAGTGCTGAAGAAAGTGCCGCCGAGCGTCTTCAACTATCATTATGGCTTAGTAGTAGAGATGATCATCTTCGCGTAGTTCGAGTTCGACTTCTTCACGAGTGCCACTACTCTGCAAAAGGGCAACATCGTCAGGCCAAGCTGCGTCCGAAGTGAATTCATATAACAAATTATTGTCTCCTGATCATTATCATGCGTCAGACTTGCTTTCCCAGTCCAGCCTCTAATAGCAACAGCTGACGAGATTTCTTGCTATGGCCTACTGCTTGCAGCTCGATAGCGCCTTTGAGCTGCTGATGCAACGCGGATGCCAGGGGATATTTCGAAAGGATCCCAATAAGGCTGGTCAGCCACTCAACGACTTGAGGACTTTTGCAGGTTCGCTGTATCATCTGCTAATCGAGAAAGTCAAAGAAGCAGCTGCTGTGCCTACAGCAGCGGAGGCGCGGAAGCAGCGGCTTGACAAGCTTGTCACGCGGCGTTGTGCGTTGATGCGGCAAGTCAAGGCGCGTGCAGCGAGGCAGAAGCAAGGTAGTAATCCAGTGAGAGACGTCAGCAGCTTTCAAAAACACAGAAACGACGCGGCCGCACGAGCTGCAAAACACCGACAAGGGGCTCTGCCGGCCCGTGCGCTCACATTCGAAGATGAGGAGGACATCATCGCGGCAGCGAACATGGACGAGGTAATTGCAAACCAACTCCTGGCGGCTAATGGCATAAAAGGAGATGGCGTTCTATGCGACGCACAAGGCCACGAGTATGAGGCCAATCCGAAGATCAACGAACGCATGCTGCAAGACGCCGTTCGATTTCTCCAGAGCAAGGAAGCGAAGGAGCAGTCCTTCCTCCTGACGTACTCTTTTTGGCGAAAGGCGCGGTGGATGCACCTGGAAAACATGTACAAGTTCGTTGTGTACGCGGTGAAATGCAGCTCGTGCAAGAAGAGGATCGGAGAGGTGAGGAAGAAATTCTTCCGAGGACCACTGTCACCACCAGCCCTCATCATGAAGACGTGGAAACGAAACAGCGACACAGGGATCTACGAAGACATCGTTGCGTCACGAAACAATGGCCCGGCATGCCATCTGTTTTGCCCCGAAGTTGGACAGAATGTTGCTGAGCTGTCGCACAGCTTCGTTTATAATTCACCTTGGTGTTTCTGCGGTTTTTGGCATAATAATTATGATGAACAAAGGTTAGGCTTTCTTGTTTCAGATGGTTTTGCAAGAAAAGCAAAACTAACGTTGGGAAAGGCTAACGCAGACAACCCACTGCTTCTAACCCAGCCAGTGTTTTGTCGATGAAACGTGTACAGAAATACTAGAGGAGGAAGCCTGGTGGAAGTGTGCATTTAATTTCGCAGAAATCTGGTGCAGACACACTGGATCGATGTGCAGCTGCAAGATACCTCACCTCTATCCCGTATCGCATCGCTGGAGAGGAACCCAGCGAATCGCGAAGCAGGAAGCCCAGTATGATCTTCTTTTGTGTATTTGAATCGCCTGCAGGTTGTTGTAGCTGGAAAGATTTGCTTCTTGCTTCCTCTGCTACAATGAAGGACATGACTTGGCAGTCAGTAGCTTCGTTGTTCAAAGAGGACCATCTTCATCGAGCGTGAGTCTTTCTACAAAAAAAAACTCTTCCCGCCTGCAGGTTGTAGTCCGGCCTGCTCCTTCTGTGGGATTCGATTTGACGCGGTGACTCGACTTTCAAGAAGCTCTGCCTTTGGATTTGGTGCGAGTGTTTTCTACGATGCAGTTGGCATTGGAAAGAAGTTGCCCCAGACTTATCTTACTAGATGAAGATATGCCTTTGATGCATAGGGATTGAGTAAGTTCTATCATGTTCATTCTTTCAATAAAATCTACGAGGACATTGATTCATGCAGTGGATATCTGGAGTTAGCACCAGCAACCCGCCCAGAGCTGTGCTTGGAGTTGGCGAACATTCATAAGCGTAAGTATCGACTTTCTAACTACTTTGAAACTAGTGTTGCGGTAATAAATTGCAAAAGTAATCTGGCATAATTATCCACGTGCATGATGTCCATCCACCCTGCAGAACTTTCTGTACCCTGATTAGTATTACTTAGATGAATCATGGATCACACACATGGTCAGAATTACTCTACAGCATATCAATGCCCATTCCTTTTGCACAGACCTAGGATAGAGATAGTTACTGTGCACTTTGTCCTATGTATAGATGGTCTCGCCAATAGAAGACAAATTTGAAACGCCTCACACTATGCATTACTAACACCTCCAAAAATGTCATACTATTTATTACATCTACAGCTGACTCTTCTGTAGTCTGAAAAAAAGCAAGGCGATCCCTGAGCTCGTTTTTCATCATCCCATAAAGAGTCTGGAACTTCTTCCGGAGGTCTACATGCGAACCAACATACAAACAACAAGCATGGCTAAGCGTAATCGTGTGTCTTTGATATAAGTAACTACTTCTGGCTAAGTTGATTATCATGCAACCCCGAGCAGAATCTTAATTGCATCTTCATGATCATAAAAATGACCTCCACGAACATCATGGGCCTGCTCTTGCTTTTTGAGATGAGAATAATTGAATTACAATACGGCACAGCCAGACGCCCCAGTGAGTTGCACTCTCTTCTAGCTTGTCCCCAACTTAGGTTGTGCTCGTCATGTTAAACCTTTCAGACATTTCAATGCCCCAGGAGTATTGCAAACGCAACGCTATTAATAAAGCCTCAGGTTAAGAATTATCAATATCGTAAGAGAGACTGAAGCTACATTGTCTTACAGATTAGAACTACTGAGACGAAGGGCAGCTGAGCTAGATTGTTAGGCTTAGACTAGGATCTACCCTTGTGGTAGTAGGAGCAAGAAAAGTCCTACGCCAGTCGCTTAAGTTAATCACTTGAGGCCCTTTCTAGGAGCAGGAGAAGGGAGTCTGCTCAAGGTACCCGTATGATAAACGCTTGCAGTTTTCTGCTGGATGTTGCGTTATCTGTGGCGGAAGTGTTATCTGTGCTAGGAGTGGAATAGCTTTGAAGGACGAGCTCAGTTTTTCTTTATCAAGAGTGAGAGAGCGAATGATGAGCAGCAGCAGCAAGCTGTAGGAGCAAGGTCTTAGGTGCAGTCTATGCTCCAGTTTCTCTGTAACCGCAGGCGTTGTTGGTCTGGCCCTTATCGTGAATTGAGAGAAAGAGGGAAAGCATATTAATACTTTCCAGAATAGAAAGAGAGATGGTCAGCGCCTATCATAGGAGCTACTTTCTTCAAATTCGATGAGAGATCAGATCCTGACGAGTGCGCTTGAGTTGATCTTTGCTAGCTACCCGAGTCGACGAGTGACATAGACGAGCAGAATATGAGAAAAAGAGCTCAAAAGAAGCGCCAGCGTGGTCTGTCGTTGTCCTCCTCCATCCCGTCTACGCCGAAATCTTCTACTTGTGTGAGAGACTTATCACATTTGCGCCGAACAGGTTCAGAAATGTCCTTCTTGTTGATGAAAGTGGAAACTTAGTAGCTATATCCTATCACCTATGCACTATGGGTCTCTTCTGATCTCAATAAAAAATCTGACGCATGGATGCTCGTCGTCTTGAGCATCAAATGAGTTCTAATTTGTGTTTTATGACTGATGAAGGGCTCGTGGGTTAAGAAATCTGCTACAAGAATTGAAATGTATGCTCGTCAAGTTCTTTTTCTATCTTTGTGCAGGAGGTCAGCTGGTGGAAGAGATCACCATCGAACGATGAACGTAACAAAAGCAATTTTGAAAATGCAGTGGTCTCGTCTCTCATTTCATCCCTTTTTCTCTTCAAGTCGAAGAAGCTGCCGCTCGAGTTGATTCCCACTCGTTCACGACCTGCTGATCTCTCTCGAGGCATCGAGCTCGAGCTACTAAAAACCGATGCCATTTGACGTGTGTCAGAAACTCTCACTCACTTTTATTAAACTCACTGTTGCCAATGTGTGCATTCCTGTTGACTCGTAGAAGCTCATATGAGCAGTCTGCTACCTCGAGGACTAGAAAGCGATAGACTTTACTAGTGTTCATCCTTGCAACATGCAGCACGCTTTCAAAGATCTGGGAGAGTGATAGATCTTTGAGCTTATCAAAAAGAGAAGTTGGTAGTTCTGATCAGTGGCAGGAGTCATGAACTGATCATAGAGGCAAATTTGTAGTGCTGAATGAGTTCAAAAAGATCCATTCAAATGAGCAAAAACCTGGCTGGTCTGCTCCTGTTTTAAGAGCTAAAAAAAGACACTAGTTTGATTTTTTAAGTTGAATCACGACTAGTCTACACGCTATTCTAAGGGGACGCGGATGGTCGAGAAGGGTGGCGAGTGGTCACCTACATTACGAATACAAAAAAAAATGAAGATATCGAGCACAATCTATGGCACTTCATACAAGGCGAAGGAAAGCTCTTGCGGTGGATCTTTTCACCTTTCTGCCGATCGGAAAAATGGGAAACGACGTCCGAAGCCGCCCTTCACGCTGACCTTCGTAGCTCTTGGTGTAGCATTTTAAGGCTCGAAAGGTTCGTGGTCACATCCAAAATCTTCGACATCTGTCGAGCTGAAGCTTCCATTGTTGATTGAAACAAAATACTTAACTGTTTGTCAGTGAAACTGATGCTTAAACTGATGCTCTAAGCCTTAGCATCGCATACTGTATATAGCAGCGGAGTCGGACTTAGAGAAGCCTTGTCCAGTTCTGTTGGGAAGACGGCAACTCGACATGAAGTGACGACACATGATGTTTCCAGCAAAGACGAAGACTCCAAGGACACTATTTGGTTCGAAAATGACAGTTTGAAACGTCTGGGCTTACGCGTGAAATGGTCTCCGGTCCGAGTTTACTTTCATGGGCAATGGCATGTCGTTCATGCATATACGAAAGTTCCTGTGCTTATAAGACCAGACAAAAGCGCCAGGGCTTTGAATTTTACGCTTGTGGATGAACAGCAGACGTATTGGTATGGTAGGTCTACAACGTCTGAAAACAAGAAAGTAGTTTTGCAACTCAGTATCAAAGAACAAAAGCAAGGCGGGGATAGAGATGAAATTACAGTATTCGAGCAGCACTTTTTTGGTGGGGACTTGCTTGGAACAGCGTATAGAAACGCATCAGAGTTTCTAGACGACTCACATCCAGAACCGCAGACGTCGTTTCCGGTCTTCTTTGCCTCGGATGAAGGAAAGAGGCATCCAGAGCAAAGCCAAGTGAGTCTACCAGGTGAGCAGAGACCGGGACTAGCATCTTCATCAAGCTTAGAAGAAACTCAAACTGCAGCACCAGAACCTTGGAACTATTTCCTCATCGCCGGTTGTCAATTAGCGGAGGTTCATACTGGTACCAACACGCTGTTTCCTCAGCCTTCGCACCTGGGTTACGAGTCTTCGCCGTTGGTATGGCATCGAAACGGGTCGACCGCAGTGCTTTCTCATTTGTCGCATTTCAAGCATGGGGTGATGAGCCGAGGTTTGAACAAGGATACTCACGACGGTAATGATCCAGAACACGAGCGTCAATTAAGACTTGGGTTATCGGGAGAACTCGAACGCATTTCAAAGGATACGAGATATGCAGCGGTGCTATACCACAGCTGGACGAGGAGAGAAGATGAGGATGACGCGAATAAAGCAGGAGAAGGTAGCGGAGGTGTAGTTGATGTACCTCGACACCATAGACACAACAGTCAAGTCGGTGTCCGACAAACGATGTATCGTTGGGGAAACTTCGTGCATGACTTTGTACGTGCAGAGAAGAACGGAGGCAAGAAAAAGCATCTCCCTGACGACTCAGATCCTGTACTGGCGAAACTAGGGTTTTTCACTGATAATGGCGCTCAATTCTATGGTGATTCCTACAACGCGGGTGCCCCTCGAGGACAAGGGAGAGAGCTGAATTTGACCTGTTGTACAAGTGATAAGATATACCCGGTCTTGCGAAAAGGAGGAACAAAGCCTAGTGCTAGTCCTGGGGTTCCCTCCCTTCACTACCTTCAGTTAGACGACTGGTGGTATAGAGGTGTGTACCCGTCACCGCAAGATTGGGGCATTAAATGCGTTGAAGACTGGACGTTTCCCACGAGTGTGGGTGCTGATCGCAATTTCTCGGACATCGCCAGGCAATTCCCGGATCTGAGTCTGATGCTGTATGGACCGTTTTTCTGTCCTAACAGCACGCTTTTGAATTATAGTCATACTTCTACTTCACATTCATCAGAGCAGACACAGACAACAGCCACAGCATCGTGGGTTTCCTCAGGCACAATGCCTGTTTTAACTCCACGTGGAACGGATGGGAGCTCTGAAAAGATCTATGACGAGCTATTTCGACGAGCGGCTTTTGCTTTTGGAGATGATCCTGCTACTTTAGAACAAGTATCTTCAGAGACTACGGCTACTAGAACACAACTTTTCACGAATTTTGAGATTGACTTCATGAACGAAATTTTTCTGCGGTCTGCTGATTTCCGTTCGACGTTGGATTTGTACGAATCATGGCTGTGGGGGTTGGATAAAGCCGCACGAAAAGCGAACTTGTATGTTCAGTACTGCATGATGTTGCCATCTGACGTTTTCCTGGCGATTGCGATGGTTAAGGCTACAACTACTGCGAAGCGGGGTTTATTTGCCCGCTTGTTTATCATGGGTTTCACTAGAACTCGTCTTCTAACATCGACCGCACGACCAACGGTCGCGCCAGTGACGACTACGCTGCAGTGCATACGTGGGACGTTTTTGCTAGCAGTTTGCTGTTCGACTCTTTGCGGTCGATGAGGCCATCGAAGGATAACTTTTGGTCGAGCCCAGTGTATCCTTCAGATGCCAACTTCAACGTCTTGAACACAGGTTATGGTGGGGTGAACAGTAGTTGCTTATAGTTGGTAGTTGCCTTCTTGGTAGATTCTTGCATTTGCATTACATGCAATGGACGAAACGAGATAGTATGAGATGAACACCACGAAGACATCTGTTCGCGGGCGTGTAAGAAAGAATAAGAAGTGTCACTAGACACCTCGAAACAAACGGCGGTGATCCAAGCATGAACCTACTCGTGCATAGTCTGGTCGCGACGTATTCCTTGGGCCCGGTGGGTGTGAGTGATCTGGTTCTGAACGGTACGGTCTTGTCACGGATTGCGATGAGCAATGGCACGCTGTTGCGACCGCAGAGACCTCTGACGGTCGCAGATAAGATAAGGCTCTAGGACTGCGAGGAAATTTGTGGATGAAAAGATCTACAAGTTTAAAAGCCATACGGATATTGGCGTCCACCTACCACCAAGGACGAGTCCTTTAATTATTCATAGAGGTGGTCGGTCTGTATGAAATGTGTCATTACTCACACGAAGTTGGAAGATTAATTGAGTATTCCTCTTGAATAGTCGTGGTTCTAAACTCCGTCTGGCAAGAGGGATACCACTCGACCGGTCGAGTAGCGAGTACTAGGATCGACAATGAAAGCTTCGCTGTGTTTTTCGGGAACTACACTAGAACTAAAGACCTTCAAGGGGGTGAAAAAAGTGCTTTTTGGAATGCGGAAGTCGTAATGGCGCAAGTTGTCGACGACGGACTGGGTGGAGGTTCTCAGGATGAGGATACTACTTCTGCTTCTAGAAGTACAGTGACGGCCCGAAATAACGGCGTCCTACTTGTCCGTCGTATTGCAACGATGTCGGACGGAACTGAGGTACCATGGGAAAGCGATCCTGCTATGTTGGCTGAGGCCTCTGGACGAGTAGATCATAAGCTAGTAGGGGAGCAGAAAATAGGCACCAGCAAACAGGCTGTGCGACTGCGTGTAAAACCAGAAGACCGATCCTTCGTCAAAGCGCGGCTGTTACTTGAACGACCAGGCTCTCTTGGAGGAAAGGATACCTTCAAGGTTTTTAGGCCGTCTTCTTCTAGTCTGAAGACACATACTAGTACTGTGTCATCTTCCATATCAACTACAACAAGTACATCTCGTTCTATCAGAAATACAACCCCCGACGTCACGCTCACGTCGTCTTCTTCGCCACATCAAAGTAACAACAAGTTGTTTGTTTCCTATGAGTTGTTTTGGATGTTTCACTTACCACCTCCCTCGAGAAGAACTTCAGTGGAAAATAAGAGCAACAGCACGGGCCCCGAGACAGACCAGCTTGTCTTCCTTGGTGAGTGGATGAAGTACGTACCTCGTTCCGCACAACGATTTGTTGAGATTAGAAGGAGTTCTTCTTCCACGACTTTTTCCAGAAGTACAACTAGGGATGTCGAGGAAAGCGGAAGAAGTGCATCTTCAACATCAACAACTTTCGTCGCACGCTTTGCACCAAGAGAATTGACCTCCTTTTCTTGGGTCCGGCTCAGCAGCAATGACAAGACGGCCTTTCGCATGCTGGAGCTGCAGAACAATCACGATGAGGCGAGGCAAATGAAAGTGACCATTGCGATTTCGGAAGACGCAACAACGGAGGTGGAAATGGAGGGTGACGAAATTGTGGATGTAGAGTTACTTTCAACGTGGGGGTACGATGGCGATGCAGGTGCTCAGGGATCAACTATTCTTGAAGGTGATGATGCAGCAATTTTCGAGTAGCAATGGGCGGTGGATGATAATTGAAGGTGTTTCCGCCCGTTATTTGGATTGTCGCTTTCTATCGCTTTCTCTTGGATTACACTGTAACCATACCCATCTGTGCTCCCTATCTCTGATTTTGCAACTCGATTGGAACGATCGCCAAATCTCGACACACAAAAATTGTGACTCAGATACCTCGGAGAACAAGCACTCAAATTTTCTTTGATGTTGAGCTATACCGTGATTGCAACCCACGAGACACCAGTAGAGCTACTTGAGACACCATGATGATGATGATGATGATGCGCCTATCGAGAGAATGACGTCGAATGCTCGTTGAAATCGAGAGAATGGAACCGGCACATGATTTTTAACGCTGAGTTCGCAAATGTAGTACTAAGATGTATGATGATCGTCTCCCCAAATGCATACTATCGGAGCCACTGCGCTCCAGCGGTTTCGTTGCTAATTTCAAAAATGGCACGCTATATATCTCGACGCGGTCATCAGTTTTTACAACTATCTTGGCAATCAATTCAAAATCGGGGCATCAAGTAAGAATGAAAATCCGAAACACCTATATAAATATGTTCCAGGGCGCGGGGCGACGGCTCCCCCCCTAGCGGGGGGAGGCCGGGCGCCCTGGGCCCCTTTTTGAGGCGTCTGCCGGGGGGAAGGCCTCAAAAAGGGGCCCAGCGGCCTCCCCCCTCCGCTCCCTGCCAGCTGCCTGGCTGTTCCCTAGGGGCCTCCGATGGTGGTGGGAGGCTTGAAAAGGGGCCCAAGGGACCGCCTGCGCCCCCGTCCAGGTGCCTGCTTGTGCCCTAAGTGCATCCCTTAGGCTTCGCCGCCGCAGCCGTGCCGCCTGTACCTTCCGGGCCCTTGGTCATCGGCTTGCTTGCTCTTGCGACCGTGGCCGCCTCCGGCGGCCTTTTACCCTGGAGGCCTCCCGCCTGCGAGGGTCAGCAGAGGCCAGGAGGTCCCGGGGGAACACGCTGAGAGGCCCAAGGGGAGGCCCGCGCCAAGTTTTGACGCCTTCCACCACTAGAATCCGCGAAAAATCCGCGCGGAAAAGCGCGCGCGCGCGCCACCGCAGACCAGACCACAGGGGGGGGAGGGGGGGGGCCGTCCGGCCCTGGGTCATATGTGTGATAAGTTGCCTCGCATCTTCAACTCAAAAACAAAAAAATCGCTGTAGGAAAACAACGTTTTCAACAACGGGGTGAACATAATTTTTCAACAATGCATTTTTTCAGTGAACCTAGAACTCAATAAATGGTGGTTTCTTCCAACGTCTAGTTACACAGCGCTCTTATTTCGCTGTCAATATTCATAAGTAGCTGTTTATGTTGTATCGGAAGATGGAAAATACTATCAAGTTCGTAATATATGTGTAGAATCAATCCATGATGATTGCTTTCTCTTTATAGCAGCAAGAGGTATGTGTTGATCTTCGTTTGAAGAAACCTGCTAGCTGTTGACTTTCTTCGTGTCTATTGTGCCGTGCGCATAATCACCGCACTTGTTTTTCATTTACATTTCGTCTACTTCGTGTTACTGCAGAGTCGTACAGAGAGTATTATATTGTAGTTGGTACTATCATGATGACGACATCGAGAACTAGCTATCAATCGGCTTATAACGACAGGCTTTAAATCATCATCAAAATTGGCGGCTTTCGGTAATCGAGTCCCTGGCTCGAGTCATGGCGGTTCGAGATATATTAGACGATGACGCACGTGGCGTCGTGGTCTTCCTTCCTTCCGAGTCTGCAGATGGCTTCACCTTCGTGCACAAACGGGGAAGCGTAGCACGCGGCTCGGAGGACGAAGACACAACTAAAGCGGGCCCGTCTTCGGGGGAGGACATTGCCGCAGCACGGGACCAACAGGAGGAAGATGATGATGGGCAGGCTGTTGACGTGCTACCGTCCGCCGGATTCAATGGAGAGGGCATTTGTTCCGTTACCGTACGGCAGCAGCAGGATTTTCGCAGCAGATTGCGCAATCTCTTCGGCAGAGCTGAAGCAGGGCACTACGAGGTAGTCAAGTTTTATATGAAAAGGCGCCTCGCGGCAGTAGAGTTTACGGATCATTCAGTGAGCCCTTTATAATAGTACTTAGAGGAACCCATAGAAAAGGAACGACACTAAATATTTTTTATCACATGATCGATTGATTCATGTGTCACACCCGATCGCGATCAGCATGTTCATTTCGAATCTGGTTTCCATTCTCATGTGGTCGTCGACACAAAAAATATATGGCTTTGTACTCTGTGGTAAGTAGGGGGTTTCACCCGGTTACAAAGACTTGTCTTCACAGTATCTATCAAATTATGTTTAATTTTCGTTGACTTCATCTACAAATTGCTTATGCTTTGATCGGTCTCTTATCAATATATCTTTGTTGGACTGACGCGCGGTCCTGCGCAGTATTCTCTTGCACAAACCGCAACAAAGGTGACGGCAAACGATTCCGAGGAAGGACATGCAGCCTCTTTTCCGGCGGAGGCTCAGAGGGCAGTGTTGGCATTTTTGCCGGATGCTGCCGATGACGAAGGCGCGCTATGCGATCTTCTGGAACGCTACGCAAAGAGCGTCGAGGAATTCCTACTCTTGCGCGCAGCAGCAACACATCGCGAGCATCTGCACAACAGCAGTGATTATAGTGGAAAGAGTAAGAAAACAGTTGCAGACGAGACACTTTGCGAGTTGTACGATCGAGGAATGCAGAAGTTCTTCCTTGGTCTTTACGTAACGACGAGGCAAGAGGATCTGGATGGGAGCGACCCGCGGACTCTGATGCTGCAAGCCCTCGCCCGGAATTGCAGGCTGTTTCACCTCTGGTTATTTCTTCGTGATAGTCCTGCAGACGCCTTTTACTTTGACCTTTTGCAATGGGAAGCTGATGAAGCCGAGGACGAAGCCTCTCGGTTTTCGCATTTGGCGCTTGCTGATTCCGTATCCAAAAACCCAACGCTGCAGCTGCTCGCGCGCGCTAGAGGCTGGCGCGGGAGATTCACTGATGGTGCGGCTGCAACTACCACTACTAATACTTATGGACGGGGCGAAAAGCGAAAAGAGGATATAGACTGCCCAAAGACGAGCCTGAAGCTGCGTCCTGCCGACGTCACTATGGGCGCCTGTGTGGTCTACTTCGCTACTAACTTTAACCTTCGTGTGACGACAGAGTGGGTGGAGAGCCACTGCCACAGTTTCAACCTTGCAAATACTACGACTAGCGGTCCCCAGCTTCACAATAGTGAAGACAAGAGGTCGCGCTTCGAGTATGGTGCTTTCGTGGGCTTCTGGCGTGGAGTAGCGCAAAACGCTTCAGGCAGAGAGGAGGCTGTGTACCAGCTCGGGAGCATGTTACTAGACAAAATTCCGTTATTTTTACGGCCCTTGAAACTCCTTTTTTTCTAGGAACTTGAAACTCCTCACAAATAGTAAGTTTGTTGTATAACCCTCTGTTTTTGGTGAGGAAAACCATTTGGTCAACAGGGATTCTAAAAAATGTAAATGATTTCTTTTCATTCATTTCGAGCTAGTAAGCGTATCCCGCTTCTAGGAAGAGTGATAGTTTATGTTTCTGGTATGGAAACAAGCTCCAATATTCGACCCGGATGGAGATTCTACGTCAAAGAAGAATAGTGAGGAAATTGCACTTGTCACAAAGTTAGTGTTGAAGGAGTATCTTCGTGAGGAGCTGTGCCCTTCAGATCCGGCAAGGACAGAGACGACGGCAAAAAAACGCCCTGCAAGAATCGACCACGCAGCATTTGTGAAAAAGCTTCTACGTCCGACGAAGAAACAAAAGATCGCTGCTGGTGCTTTTGCTGCTTCGAGTACAGGCGAGGGCAGCGCAGACTCAGTGTCGTACTTGGAGCATGGTGCAGTAAACCGTCTTGCTGTGAACGTGGAAAATTTCGCGGCTGGCTTACAAGTGGCGGCGTGCACAATTGTCGGCGAAGCCAATCAGGTTACTGAGGTACGCGGGTGTCTCGAAAAGAGATTGCACATGCATGCGCAGAGCTTGCTGGATACGCAGATCGCGTTATCGTTTGCGCATCAGCAGACACGCAGTGTCAACAGCGTGATGACACTGTTGAACGTGTACGAAAGGGTATGCTCCGTTTATCCGCTCTGCAGAAGTCCTGAGCTAGTTGGACGCGTCCTCAGAGAATATCCGGACGAGGGAAGACTGATGCTTATCGGCCCAAACAAGTCAAAGTCTTCTACTAGTACTGAGTCAGCGTTGGCGCTGAATGATCCGTCCGCTTCAGCAGAAGTAGCGAATGCGTCAGAGCGAGGACCTGAAACAAAAGTACTAGCTTCAAGCGTCGATGGAGTCTCTACATCAAAAACCAAAGAAAACCTTCTCGTACTAAGAAACATTCTAGACGACATCCGAATAAGAAATCTAGATGGAGGAGTTAAGAGAGGCCCTGCCTTGTCGCATGATAGCGGAGCAGTCACAATACGTGCGCAAACGGAAAATGCACTGGTCGAGCGGGCAGCGCGGATGCGGGTATGGGTAGATGGTGATTACAAGATGGCGCTGCAACCGGTACGTTGTCTTGCGGTGTTCGAGAACGCCCAGTCAGACAAGAAGAGCGCTGGACCTGTTGTCGTCAATTGTAGCGCGTTCGAGAGTGAAGGGAGCCACTTTTTGCTCTGGCAAGTGGGGCTTTCTGTTAACGGTCGCTATTCTGCGAAGCCGCAGGTCGGGGATGGACATTCATCCGATGCTGGTGCAGCGGGGCTTCGTGACATGAAAACATCAAGGAGCTCGTCCTCTTCTATAGTTGATGCAACTTCTTCATCTCGTTCCAGAAAAATGCGTTTCTTTTGGATTCCTTCCGACACGAACGACGAGAGCGGGAAGGAGCTAGGTGAGGCGTTGCTAGGGGACGGGGAGAGGACAAGAGTTACTGATATCCGAATAAACATTAGTTGTAAGGATATTAACGAGGCGCTGAGAAACTCCGGCTGCATTCAAGCAGCGGCAGCAGACAGCGACATCTTTAGCACTTCTATGGTGGAAGCATGTTTTCCAGATCACGTGACGATTCCGAATGACGGCTCTGGTGAGGCGGATGTGGTGAAGCGGGATTGCACCTTACTGCAACTGCTGCCAACTGCACAGCGTGACTGTCCTGGGTTTCGTCGATATTGCGTTTTCGTCGGACCGCACCCGCGGCCGGATTGCGATCCTCCGTCCGAGCAGAGCGCGTCGACTACTCAGACCAGCACGAAACGATGCAACTTTGTCGTAGCGGAGCTGTACTAGGTGATCACGAATCCATGCTCTTGAGGGGTCAGCAAATCAATGACAGCGCCACGGTACCGACGATTGCTGTGCGGGAAATAATGGTAGACATGCTTACCAGCGACGAAGCACGCTCCCGGGCAGCAATCTTCCTTGACAAGGAAATGCTGCATTTCCGAGCTGTCTTAATCGGGAAAGGCGGCACCGCCGGTAATGCAGTAGTTGCAGCGACGGGCCACCATCTACAGGAGGTTTCAGTCGATGGCTGCAATTTTAAATCTGTGATGGCGTCGATGAGTGCACACAAATCTGCTACCTGTGTCACTTTTCTGAAAGTGCGGACAACGGGGCCGTTGAAAGTGGAGCAGCTTCGAGAATTGTTGGAGGCAGTGGCGGATGCAGTATTTCTGCGCGTCGTCTTCGAAGAAAGCGCGGAGTTATGGCGGACTCTGTGCTCGGGAGATATGCTCAGCCAGGTCTTGAAGACTGCTGCGTTGCGGGAGCGGTATACCTCCGGTGACGCGGTAGACCGTGTGCTATACGACCGAGCGTCCGCCGCGGGCTCACTAGTGCTCAATCTCTGGCAAGCATGTTGCTCTGCGACGCCGGATGAGGACGACGTGGAAGAGCATCAGCAAGATTCAATTGCAAGCGTGACCTTCCTCCACACGCTGGTGGAGCAAGTGGTGGATGCGAGAAAGACGTGTTTGCACGCGCTTCCGACGAAAAACTGGCAAGCAAAGGCACGCGACTGGCTCAACGATGACTCGGCGAAGCCTATCTTTTTACGGCTTCAAGAACCACTCTAAGTTTTTACACAACAAAAGGGCCGTACATGGAATGACAAGAGGTCTTGGCGACAATGACGTTTTTTTAGGTACTCACCTAGCATCGATTTGATTTCGTTTTGTGAAATTGTGACGATAATTCCTCTATGATAATACCCGATATCTGCATGATGCACACTTCTAAGCATGTATGGATATACTAGTACACAGCGCTTGTCGATATTGATCGACTCTTGCGAACTACATCATCATTTTGAAGAAGGCTGTAAAGTTGACTTTTTAATGTAGGGATTACACAACCTCCGAAGTGGATGTTTGTATAAAGACTAGTCCACTCCGTGTCACAACCTGCTAATTTGGGTCTTGCAGATGGCCGATGAGAGCAGCTGGACGGGCCATGGGCGAGACGGAGCGCAGCTGCAAGAACGTGCGGGTGCAAGGAGCTTCGTTGAGGGTGAGTTGAAGCTGCGAGTCATGGATGCAGCGAAGGAGGAGGATAGGGCGCTTTTGATGAACCAGAGGAAGCGCACGAAGTGGCTACGGAGTGAGTTGAAGAAAGGCGTAGACGAGAGCGCGGCGTTTGCTCTCTGCAACGCAGAACGGCTGGCAGCGGGCCAGGAGGAGAGCGCAATGGATCAGATGAAGATCGCAGCCGTTGCAATAAATAGTTGCGTTGCAGAGCAAGGGATTCGCATTTTGCTAGTCGATTACACGACAAATCGTAACTGTATCTGGCATCACACAAAGCTTGGCGTTCATCGGTTGGCGTGCATTTCGCGTGTTCGTTGCGAGATTCTACTGCCTACGCAACTCCCGCTGAGCGGCAGCAGCCACTCTTTGCACAGTGTAAACACAGTGACGCCAGCGCAGCTACCGCGAAGTACTGGCGCCACATCAACAAGCAGCAGCGTGACAGCAAGCTACCACTCCTTCCTCAACGACAAACGAAGTGCGGGCGCAACAAGTGCTGATAGGTCTGTTTCCTCTACCGAGTTCGCATTTGTGATATGGCTAGTTTTCGGTGTTTGTACGCCAGATGTGCTTGCGGGTGTGGAAACTTTGCTGGAGGATCTGCGTGGATCGAGGACGACCGGAGATCAGCTTGTTAGAATGGTCGATAAATTTCACAAGGAATATTTGGGCGGCACCGCTGAGCACGTTTGCGAAATAAAGCAGGCCACTACTTCTTGTAGCTCTTCTCCATATGGAGCTGTCGACGGTGAGCAAGGAGAAGCGGAGGAAGCACCTCCACGCGACGCGCAGCAGGAGCTGCTGCTAACGGCGCTTGCATTGGTAGGCGCTCTGCCCATCCCGAATCCAGGCCACAGTTGTTCTCTCGCCAAGAGAGTCGTGGACGTAGCGCGAGCTTTACTTGCTTCTGAAAAACTCTCTGCTCCTGGAGGAAATATTGCTCGCGTCGCTGCGTCATCACTAATGCTTGACGTCCCGACCTTTGCTGAATTTATGACATGGCCTGTGCCCCGCCTTTTACCGCAAGCCGCGCGGAGAGCTCTGTGGCTTTTATGTCTTCATCGCTGGGCTGGAATTCAAGAGACCGACGTTGAAAGCTCTGACCTTCTTCGGCATTACCCTTCGAGCAACGTCCACAGCCAACACATCTTCGATCTCTCGGGCGTCGACGCTACAACCGACAAATTGGAGGAACCGAAATACGCCATACCGAAAGGCCTTGAGGGCCGCGGCACGCGCGAGGTACTCAACATCATTTTTCAAGTTCGACTAATTATTGTTTTTACCTCGAATAGATTCACTGATCATCTTTTTACGCGCGATAGGTTTCTGTTCATGAGTATCATATCATTACTTATTCTTTTCCAGCCGACTATCGACTTGATTGTACGGGTCATCTTCGGGTTTTTTGAGAATATTCCTTATTTCTCACAACTACAGATTGAGCAGTATCGGCGTCAAGCAGAGCGAGGTGAAGACTTCCACTACGAGAAGTTTGCGAGTAATTGGAAAATCGATTTTGATCTGAGCAATGAGGCTTTATTTGAGCTGCTATTGGTTAGTCCCGACCGGCTGAAACTTGTTCTCTGCCTCAGTCCTGCGTATATCACCCGAATGGGCGACGCTTTGCATAAAGGGAAGCTGCATACTAACACCGGAACACCAAGTGGGCAGCCACTCGTCTCGTCATCCTGTACTTCTAACCCCAACGTATCGGTGCGGTCGGAGCATCTACGCGTGCAGGAGGCGGCGCTTGAAGCGCTTCGCAAGGATGTCGAGGACGTCCGGTCTCTTGTAGAGCGCGACGGCTTAGGTGCGCCTCGAGATGATAGTCCCGCGCGAAAAGCATGGGTGGCGATCAAGTGGCTCCTGTGGAAGCAGAGCTTCACTGAGGCGGACTGCGACAGCGTATCCAAGGACGACATAAGCACGCTGGTCGGTGAGCGTTTACAGTTGTCCGTGCATCGCATAGCACCCGCCATCACTCGTGATTCTTTGCCGATGCCTGCCGTAGAGGGTGGAGATCGACCTGATATCGAACGGGGACACGAAGCGACTTTTTCGGAAGATGATGATACTAGTGGAGGTGATCTTCTTCTGCTGACGGTGGCACGTCTGATAATGCAGTTAGACGAGCCTCCTCACATCATTGCGAACCAGTCGCAGATACAGGGTTTGCTTCTGGGCACGGAAGGAACCGGCGTGAGACTCGACTCGAGTACGTTTCAATCACGGGAAAATGACGAGCCGCGTGGATTGTTTGCGGGCGACCCGTGGGTGTATGCTGACAGAGAAGCCGCGGCTGCTGGACGTGGAGTGTGGATAGTGGGAGCCGCTTTTCTCGACTTCCTGTATTCCACCAGTACGGCAGAAGCGATGGCGAAAGAAGGAAGTGGCCGCGAGCTGTGTGCCATTCCGATGGTAGCAGACCTTCTACGCTTAAAGCGGGGCGAAAACTTGCTGCTGCCAAAAGACACATCTTCGTCGCGATCCCCAATCCCAGAGTTCACACCGGCAGCGGTATGCTGTCTGCTGAGAGCAGCTCGAAATACGAACACACTTGCAGCTGTGTGCGAACTGTTGCGTTGTAGTCTTGCTTATGATTCTAGTAGACGGAGCCAGACCGATTCTACAACAACGAGATTGCAGCGGCTCATGGGTACAAGTGCAGCTGGTCAAAAGAGTGGTCAGGCGGACGCGGAGGAACGTGCTGTCATTCATTTGCGGGAGTCGTTGCTACAAACTTGGATGAAAGATGAAGCACTTCTAGTTCCGTTTCTCGTCGAGATAAAAGATTGGCCAGAGGTTCGTACCATTAGCTCGCAAGCTGACAGTAGTTCTCCGGGAACATCGACTGACCACAAGTCTCTACTTGCAAAATTGCTTGCGAAATTGCTCATACCGCTTACGATTCCAAATGCGACATTGCGCGACTACATTGCATGCGCTGAAAAGGCTACAAATCGAGGAATGAAGACCAGTTTGGATCTGTCAGCTAGCGAGCGGCTTCTTATGGCGTACGTCGAAGCCTGCCGAGAAGATGGGGACACGTTGGAGATACAATATCAAGTGGGTCGCCACAATAAGCTTCTCAGCGACAGCGCCTGTCGATCGATCTTGGATGGAGGTTTTGCTTGTCGCAGTGAGGCTCCTCGACTTGGAGAGCGCGTCCTCTTTTATCACTGCTGGGGAAGATGTCCGATCTACTCCTTTCCCGACTCGATGCTCCCATCGGACCCGGAGAAATCCCTCCTTTTCGTCCTGCAGAACTTGCCGCCCGGAACGCCGAGCTTTACTCAGCGGTGCCGCGAGACGCGTGCACTGTCGTTGATGGGAAATTTTCTGACTCGTCCAGAGACGCTCAATTTGGCTGTCTATAACACATTGTGCGACAAATGGACAAAGGCGGGTGCGAATTTTTGGCGGAGGATCGAGGAGGAGACTCTGGTCATCGCGCAGGAAGGTCATAAGGACTATCCAGCTTACTATCTGCAGTGGCATTATCGACCGCTGCCTGCTGCGCAACTCACGGCCTTGCAGAAGAGCGTTCGTTCTCAGCACAGGTGTGCCCGGGAGAGCAAAAGAGACGGTGCTGCTTCTGTTTGCCCGCGAGTGTCGGAAGGCGTCAACGCGGACACCGTCAAGCACAACCTCGAAACTTTGCTTCACCTCGCAGGAGAAGAAGGTGAGTTGTCCAACGAAGACTGTCTGGCGCAGCGGAAATTGAATGGCTTTGCCGTGGCAGTGTGGTTTGTTGCGGCCGGGTTTAAAAAGGATACTTTGGAGAGGTGTGTCGACCCGTCCAGCCGTCCAGCATTCGAGAAGGCATGGGCTTCTCTGTCAGAAAATCTTAGGAACAACAGAGGGGGCATCAACAAGACAGCCGTTTTAGGAATGAAGAAGCAGTTTGTCTTCGCACCGATGCCGAAGATCATCGACGTGGCAGCACGGGGCTCAACCAGTCGCACTTGCGCCCAGCTTTTCGGCGCTAACGAAGACTCTGCAGTAGCCACATGCGAGCGGTTGAATACGCTCTCGGAGCACTTAAAGCTCGCAAGGCCCGCACTGGAGCTTGCCGACTTTTGGGATAGCAAGTCACGCACCGCGGGGCCGAAGCTGGGCACGGAGTTGAAAGCGTTCGCGGATGCAGTTGGGAGAAGACTGCAGAAAGACGTGGAGCCGGTGAAAGAGAAGAGCGAAGGCCCAGTGCAGTATCGCAACTACATAAACAAGGAGCTCCAGGTGAATCAGTTATTCCAGCTTTACGCAGTTTTGGCCGACTTCACCTCCGCACTGAACGCTGGAGACGCAGTGACGTTTCTGCAGCGTTTGATCAGTTCTTTCGATGCAGCGAATTCGCCGCCTCACTCGTCGTGGCGGCAGCAAAGTACTGCTCAGTCGGACAAAAAAAATGAGCGTGATGGAATTCTGCTGTACCTCCTCTTCTTGCTCTACAACATTACGGTGGACAGCGATGGGAGGGAGATGAGAGTGATCGTGGAAGCATTCCAGAAACGAAGAATGGCCGTGTGCGACAAGGTGAAGCAGGAGCTTACCTGGCTCAAAGAACACTACTACGGAGGAAAGAAGGAGAACTCCGCTTCGATGAGCGACAGCGAACGAAATGCGCTCGAAAACGTCGAGGCTATGCTGGGGCTGGGGTGCTTTAAGAACCCGTATACGCTGCATCTCCGACGAGACGCAGAGGCTAAGCACATGGCGGACATCTTCTACACCGCGTTTGTTCAGGGCGATATCAGTACTTCCTGGATGCCGCCCAGCTACGTTGACAGACCCTTTCTACAGCGGGGTGCGAAAAAGATCGTCGGCCGTGTTGATGACAGTGCCCCTAAAGCAGTCACATCCAACCGTCAGGGAGTTCGCGCAGTCGCCTTCGAAGTGCACGACGCTGAAGAAGACGCAATTGGCAGCCCAGGGGCAACGAACCGTAACGGCGGTGTCTGTGGGAATCAGAGCAGGTTTTTTGAGGAGTACTCGAGCGGAAGCGCAAAAAGTTCGACCCTTCTTCGAGGCAGGTCACGGATTATGCACTCCGACCGCGCAGGACAGTTTGCAGGAGAATTGTCTTCGAGGTTCGGATCTTCGCCTCTGATTCAGTGCAGAGACCTTTTCGAAATCAAGAACAGCAAGAACATGTTTGAGCATGCGACGCTGCAGGTGCGCCCGGCACTTGGCCAGGTGCTCGTGTACGACAAACAAGCAGGGGCCAGAGGTGCTGACTCCCAGTATTATCGACTTGCGCCGGTGACCACAACTCTGGGGCAGGGAGAAGTTGTAGAGCGTGTCTTTGCCAACAGCGGTGACGCATTTAACTTTCTAACTTCACTCTCCGGTGCGCCTGTCCTGATTGCAGACGGTTTTCATTATGTGAAGAGCCCGCTATCAGACAGTTGGGTGCTCCTTTTTCCAGATCGAGAGCTCGCCGCTGGAAAATTTTCGGGTCTGTGCCACTTCCTGTACTCCCATCAACTGCACGGTGTGACGCTCAGACCGGACATTCAGCATGCGCTGTACCTACTGGCGTTGTCGGTGATGGATGATATGTGTAGGAAGGGCCATCTGCGGCGGCTGCGACGTCTTTCGCAGGCACAAGACGATGCTGACGTTCTGGATGCCGCCGACGGGCAGCCACCGAATGCGCAGCCAGATCCCGACGAAGACGCCACTGCCTCGTGTACACCAGGCGCCGCGACAGTTGCATCGTTGGGCGGCAACACTCGCATCAGACTCGATTTGCAGAACACACAGCAGGAGGCTCACGCGGCGCTCCAAGAAATGATGGATCTTTTCTGGAGTGTGCAGATGCGTGGAGGCGGAGGCAACACGTCAGAGACATTGCAAGAAGTGTTTTCTTCTCTGCAGGAGTTGGAGATGCAGAACTGTCGGGCCTTGCGTCGGATTTGTAAAACCTTGCAAGAACAGAAAGGGGGCCAAAATGTGCAGCCGTTGGTGCAGCGAGCCTTCCGCAAGATGGGCTTCTTTGTGGACCTCGATACGGGCGGCGAGTTGGGGGCTTGCACGCCACGGGGCGGCAGCGACGCCTCTCCGGTGAAACTTCAAAAGCAGACCTCGAAGGGGATGCACGCTGCTGAAGAAAGCGGCCTTGAAGATAGTGACGACTTGGCGCTTTATGATACGAAGTTGAAGAAGAGCGCTGAGGAACAGCAGGTTGAAAATATTGAACAACAGGACCACGCAGGAGCGTCCTCTGGTGGCAGGCTCACGGATAAGGGGACTCTTCTGGCTGGCGTGCTCTGCGACGTGTTGCGGCCCACTGACTCTGCCCACGAAATGAAGACACAGCTGGAGCCCGTTCTGAGTCGGCTCGTGGCGCCTTTCTTGCATCAGGACAAGAGGCAAACGGCCAGGGCGAACAACGACGACCACACGCATCGTGGCAGCGGCTTTGGAGGGGAGACAGACCCACAAGCAGGCGGCGGCGCATGCGCAGCCAGTATAAGAATGGGAAGTCTTGACCTGGCGCTAGTTCCTAGACAGGAGATTACCACGAAGAAGTTCGCGCTTCGCGGGTGTAAAATCTTGGAGGATATTCTACGCTACGAGAGCGGAGGCGCATCGCAGTCGCAGCGGGATGCAAGAACGAGTTTGGAGCCTGCCGAGAAAAAACGTCGCCTAAGCAAAGATCAGGAGGGAAGTCGCAGCTTTCTGGTATCCCAGTTCCCCGCATGTACTCAGGCGTCAGACGGCTCGGACCATCGTGGAAGCCCTGCGCCTACAGCTGCTAGCCCTTCGGCCGTGTTGCCGGACCTGGCCATTGACCGCCGGCGTGATCGGGGCGCGCTGCTCTTCCCTCAGGACGAGCTCGGCTACGGGCAGCCAGTGAATTCGCCGCTGTCAGTCTTGTCGCTGGATCCTCCATGGGCGGCCGGGTCATCTAGTATCTCGCTCTACTTCTCGCGGGTGGAACACGAGCGCCACGACCTACGTTACTCCGAATCAAGAGGGCAGGAGGCGGGATACCTGTTCCCGCGGCAGCTCCTTGCTCCGTATCTGCGGCAGGCGAAGTTGGAAGCGCATGGCAGCACCGAACAACCCACCGGAGACGGCAACTTTTTTGGTGGCAGTGCGACTGCGTGCGTGCTCCTTGTCCGCAGCGTCGACGGTGATGCAGTAATGTTGACACGGCGCAGCGAGCTGCTCGAGTGGCTCAGCGCGGTGTTGCGCAGTCCTCTTGCGCCGGATGTGAAAGCTTGGATACTGGAGACGACTTCGCGACCTGACGCGCCTCGACCGAATCCGCAGAAATCTGACCCAGCACACATCACTCAAGCTTTGATTATGGCGTGTTTGATGAAGCGTTGCCCGACTGGGATCAGCACCAGTGGGGGCAAGGAGTTGCGACAGTCCTTCGAGGACGCGATGCGGTTTGAGAATGATAAGGTCCTAGATTTTGTGCGGCGCAAGTCTCAGCAGTTCGGAGTGTACGTTTGTTGCCCTGGCACGCTCAGGGAAATGCGTGTCTTGGGTATTCGCAACATCGCAGTTTTAGATTATGCAGAGGGGGCGGGCTCTTTTCATGGTGACGGACCCGGGCAGCGCGGAGCGGCCACACGAAGTCGTGACCGAGACAATGCTCGCTACCTGGAAATCGTATCCAAGTTCTCTGATTTCTGTATGTTCGTCTATGTCCGCAATTTGACTAGGGTCAGTGATGTGCTGCTAAAGTGGGTCGCGGAGCACACAAAGAACAACCCGTGGCGATTCGTGTACTTCGAAAGCGCTGACGTGAGCCACAATGTCAGTGAGAACCGGGACCGGTGCGAGATGACCTTCGCGCCCTCGAATGCTACCCGGGATGTTGAGAGCGTGGACGACTTGGACAAGGCCGAGGTCGTAACGATGCGCCCGAGTCACGCCATCCATTACGCTGGTGACGATCCCCGAGCAGAGCAATTTGCACAGCGTGGCCCCGAGCAGCTGATAAGCTACTTCGAGGACGAGTTCCCCGATCGTGACAAGGTTGACCTTACGAATCGCAGCGACCTTCTTGGTGACTTTGGAGACATCATGCGAGACGCGCTGCTGAGCCCTGACCCAGCGAAGCGAGTGCCCGTTGTTATGCTTGTTTCACCACCAGGGACCGGCAAGACGCATTTCATGCTTGACCTTCGGTCGGAGCTTGAGGCTGTTCCCGGATCGCGAGTAACGCTTTTCGATGCTAGTTCACCAGAGCTCGTGAAGCACAGCTTGGCCAGTTTGCTGCAGAAAGCGACACAAATCGCCTCAGGGACGGGAGCCGCGAGTGCCTTGGCCAGAAACTGCAGCCGGCAAGGACTTGTTACTCCACAAGCTGGTGGCGGCGGAGCAGCTTTCTTCAAACATCAAACGGCCAGAAGCATCCTGATCGTCGATGAGTATCACTTTCTGAGCGAGGAGCAAAAGGAGAGCTTGTTCGATTGGCTTCAAGCGGAAGCGCTGGGCGCATTGACGACGGTTCTGATCGCGAATCGAATAGACTCGCGGGACCGAAATCGCATGCGTGAACTCGAGGAGTCTCGGCATCTGTTACTCGATACGCATCTGACTGAGCAGAAGGTGGAAGAGGTGATGGATAGCCGTCACATCGAAGACGCCAGACTTCGCGAGGCTATACTGTTATGGTTCAGAACCAGTCGACTCCTCTTCGGAGATGAGTCAGTCTCGCTGCGGTTGGTGACAGATTTTGAAGCGCTGCTTCGAAACCCACCGAGCGCGGAAGCCCTTCAGGAGCGTTGTGAATCTCTGCTCACGCAGAAGGTGCCAACAATTAGTAGCAGGAGCGTGTCGTCCTTTGTGCGCATGTTCTTGGGTCGAACTGGGCATCTCACGCAAGAACAGCCTCGCACGGCCACTGAGCTCTTGTTTGAGATCGCGCGCGCTGTCCCGGTGCCAACCGGTGGCGAGAAGGATCTACGAACGATCCCTGAGTTTCTAGACTCGAGCGTCTGTCTTTACAATTCTCCACCTGCAACCCGCCTGGCAGCATGGGCAGCCTACGCGCTTCGATTTGTGTCGGAAGCTGGTCGTCGTAGCGTCGGCAATTTGTCAGCGCTCTTTGCGGGAGTGGCGTTTGTCGATCAGGTCGGGTTTCCGTTTGAGCTAGCTGCTGTCGGCACCGGCCACGCAGAAGGAAAAGCTTTCTCATGGGGTGGCGACGAGGCTGATCTCGAGGAAGTGATAGCAGCCTTGCAGCGTGGTCACTCTATGGACTGGGCGGAACATGGGCGCCGTGGCCTCTTGTCTATCACCAATCCGGAATCTTACTGCCGCTTGCTGTCAGCGTCGCGCACTCAGTCGGAAGTCTTGAAAAACACAGACACAGACACACTCCTCACCTTACTGGCCGCGCCGCTGGTATGCTATGTCGAGGAGCTCGCTTCAATCATCCTTAAATACACGGTTACCGCACCGAAGAACACCCCAGAAGTACTAGCTTGTATATAGTTGCGCCATAGTATGCAGTTGCTTTGAAACCACACGAATTGCAAGTATGTTTTAAACGTCCTCTCTCAGTAAATAGTTTCTCGGCTGTAATCATTCTTTGATCTTCCTAACATGGAGGTAGGTTAGCAGCTGGTATCAGCTTAGATTTGAGTATATTTCTGTAAACTCAGTGCTACGCCAAAACGGGATGAATGAAGAAATGACTTTAGTATGGTACTACTCGCTTCAACTCGTTCATTTCTTGTGACATCTGTTCAGCTGCTAATCCTGCTCCTTTCAGAGCTCATTGTAACATTTAGCTGCTGGTGTAGATGGATACACATTCACATACTATGTATGACCCTAAAGTTAGTTTTAGTTGATGATGTTGATTCATTTGGAACTTTCTTTTCGGTGGTCTAACTTAGTCTCTGATGGCACTTTCCTGCTACCCAATTCAGGTTTTTGCAACTGCAGCGTGGGCTTGGTTCAGACTAAAGAAGGACGTCAAAGCCATCGACGTGCTGCATCTGCTTGATCCGAAATTTCTGCGGCCCTCTGCGAATACGGTTGCGGCGCCAAATTCGTTCCTCTCACTCTTGTGGGCGCAGGGTAACGCCTTCCACTTGGGCCACGCTGTAAAAGCAGCAGAAAAGGACGCGGTGATGCGAGAGCTGCTGCAATTCTTGGCGGCCGACCCTTCGTTACCACCTGCGGACGCTGCGCGCCTGTTTTGTGGCCGGTATGCGATGTTTCTTCATGCGCCGCAGCATCCTGTGGACAAGCCGCCGCAGCAGAGTTCTGCGATTGCGAACACCACACACACTGCAGAAGCAGCATTTATTGCAACACAGGGAGCAGCAGCAACTCTGACAGCTCATTTTGAGACGCTTGGTCACGGTCACGATAGTTGTATTTTGAGTTTTTTATTACGTTAGAAATTTACAATTAGAAAGAGTCGTGATTGTGCGTCCCATTTTTACCAATAGTGACTTGTAACTACTTGTTTCTATTGATACTAATAAAGTTGCAGCTTTACATCGTCGTTCCTGTCACTATCATCGTTTATGCTTTTTTTACAGGTAGTCGACCTCAAGCAGACCGGCGCGGACGTGCTGACCAAGGTGAAGATGCTGGATTAGTGCACGCGGATCCGCATCAGCGTTCCCAGGTGCTCAGCTGCTCGCCCCCGTCAGAGCTGGAGAAGATTCATCCCTTCACACCCGACACCTTTCGTACCATCCTCCTCCACAGCAGCGATTGCGAACCAGCATGGTGTGAGGAGGCGCGTCACTTGTGGCACGTTGTGCATGGCAAGGCCATCCCGAGCCACGTCGACAGCCTCTGGGCAAAAGGAAAACAGCACCTCCTCCTGGCTTCTACTTGTACGGGGGAGATCGATACGCGCGTAGCCGCCGGACTGCTAAAACTCCAGGGAGCACTGCGGGACGACGTTGCTGACCATCTTCTCAAATATCCAACGCGCATCGGCGTTTCTGCTGAAGTAGTCCGTGAGCGACTCGGAAACACGTTGCGCCTTTGGGCTCAGCGTGGCAGCACTAGGGAGATGGTCCGAGCTGTGTTTTCTGACGATGGTGCGAAGTTAGAGGTCGCGCGCTGCTTCGAAGCAGCTGCTTCGCCTGCGGCTTTCGCCGATGCATCACTGGCGCCGCAACCGCCGCAGCCTCCAGCCGCAGTCTCGAAAGATGCGCCTGCGGCACGAGGTACAAATATCACGCAACGAGCTTCGCATGAGGGACCACCCCCAGCAGTATTGGCAGCCGAGGCAGACACAACAGCATTGCCACCACAGCCGGCAGGCCTATCCGACGTAGCGGAAGAGGTGCCGGGCACCACAGATGCTCATGCTGCGGCCGCGGTTGCCGTCTTGGATGCCGATGTCATCATGTCGACAGCGCAGGAGCAAGTGCAGCCAGATGCAGAAGACAATGCTCATGAAGGCGCCCCTGCGATTCCTGTTGCAGAGGCAGGCGCCGGACCGCATGAAGGGGCCGCTTGATAGCGCGGGTGATTTCGATTTTCTGGTTCTACGTAATTCAGTTTTCAAATTCAAACCGACGAATGTAATTGTAATGTTTGTTAGGTGAAGATATGCTTCCCCATTTCCGAAGCTCACCAACTTATTTCCATCAAAATCCGCTTCTAACTCGTTGTATATTTTTGAGCAAGCTCGTTTTACGTCAAATCGAGACAGTGGATTGCAAGGATATAACTCAACATGAGCACTCATTCTACCAACCTGGTATTATACAACATAAGTAAGAAAGTATTATCCACTATATATTGACAATAATCTTGTTCGACTTGTTTTCATTTCAAATTTTGGATGACCGCGTCCGGAATCTGTACTAGGTATTTATCGCAATGAAAAATGATCTTGACGAAGAACTGATCCCGCTCTTGAGCGTCCTCATCAGCGCTGTGATATCGTGATCTATCAACTTTATACTCAGCGTAAATCGTTCTCCTACTCGTTTTTGATGAGCTAGAGTTTTTCAAAGCGCCTCCAGATAGATAAAAGTTAATGTCCTGCTCGCGCTCTGCCCTTTTCCTTGATCATCATTTTAGAAATGACTTTGTTCGGCTTTGCAGCAGCTCCGATGTAACCCTTTTTGTGTCCGGAGCTTAGGTCTGTGGTTCAAATTTATCTTCGTACCAAATGAAACATGACTCTGCTTGTGTCTTCACAGTGTATCTGTGTGCGTGTTGAAAAGTGACAGATTCTGAGAGATCGGAGATCTGTAATAGAGCATTGATCAAAGTGTCATGTTGATCAAACGAGCAAGAGAAGGATCTAGAAGCGGTTGACTACATTGAGATCTGTCCGAACTCATTGCAGATCCATCTTGTTTTAATAGGCTTGCCGCGCCTAGTGTCTTAGTCTTTGGAATGAAAGAATATGAGGAAGCTTTTTCTTCAGGAGTTATACTATATCACAAGAATATTAGCTGATACTCAGCCAGACGGCATTACAGGAATACGACGGTTCACTTAATTCACTCTACGTGTCAGCAGTACAGCATCACTAGATAGAAGCATTCTATTTAAGTACCTGTTCTCGTTCATTTGAATGAAAATGTTGAACTTAGACTCACATAATGAAGGGGTGCACACGTGTGTTGAGGGTGTTGCTGTTTCCCGTAGGAACGACCGCGGGTGAGGGCTGAGAAGCAATTTCGGGGTAGCTGACACCGTCAGGGAGCAAACAGAGATAAGGCACCACTTAACAGGCAAAGACGTCGTGGCTGTTCTAGGTGGTCGCCCGAGATGTATCCTTCTTTTCCCACTGCGGGTAATGCCGCTTCTTCTACGGAACAAAAGAGCATGATGAAGCAAGAAGTGCATATTAGAGGACAAGATGAGCAAGAAATGGATGAGTCAAGATGTAGAAGAATAGAAGCGAAGGGTGCAGGACCAGGCAAAGAAGCAGAAGAAAGCGCGTCCTCGAAGAACTCTCCAAGGATGAAGAAGTCCCTTGGCTGTTTTTTGGATTGGTTAAGGCCGAAGACCATCAAAGTACTTGAGTAAGTTCATTGAGTACATCAAATTTTGTGCCAACCGGGAGCGTTCTGTAAACTTCCTGTTGGCGGCTCCAGGTGCATACTACACACAGTATCACCAGAATTCATCTTGCCCCTCTTTCTCGCATCCTAACTACAGTAACAAATACTAATTCCCATTCTAATTACAGCCTTCTCCGATATGGAATGCGGTGATGAGCCTGACGAGTTGTGGTTGGATGAACCCAGAGACTGGGTTAGGCGTTACCCTTTTATCATTTCCGGCTCAAGGCTTCTTGCCGGAATAGCCTTCGCGCAGGGGATGATACTAGTAATGCTGTCAGCAGATTATGACGAGAAGATAAGTCAAGTAGCGAGCTTTAGTACCTGGCTAGACTTATTTTGTTAGTGGATTTAACGTTCAGACGCAGCAGCAGTAATGAAATGATCCCGCCAGCAAATCTTGGCATCTGACTGATACTAACTTCTCTTGCAAGCTCCCATTTATTCCCTGTCGCGTGCATATTTTATACCCAACGGTAACGAACTCGAACTCCCCTTGCAACCCTCCCCTTTCATATCCCACAAATTCTTCCGCGTGCGTATTCTGCATATCTGACTCGCGTCAATGTGATTGTTACTTTCGTTTTTTACCTGTTGCTGCACTACCGCCAGCAACGAATGTACCGGAAAGCCAGCAGTGCAAGCGCTTTAGCGTATTCATTGTTTTATTTTTTGAAAGTTACATCATTCATTTTGCTTTTGATTGTATCCCTGAGTCGAATCTAGTATTATGCCATCTTGATGAATTTGGTATCGAATAAAGTATCTGCATCTTTTGATAAACTGTTGCTCGGCTTATTGCAGTATCATGAACTTGATCGTGGTCACAATAAAGCACGTCCTGAACGAGCCCAGACTCTTAGGTTCTGACAATATAATGGCCAATTTGATGCTTTCCATCAACATCCACAATTCAAGAAATAGGTTTCATTTTTCAGCTCAGGTATGCCATTTTTCACCTAATGCTCCACAGGTATGCCAGCGTGGAAATGCAGCATCGCTATGGAAGAAAATACTCGCTAGAACAGGGACTTCTCGCGGCATCTGCACAACTCTCATTGGAGGATGGATCAACTGGCGGCGCAGAGATGTTGAACGGTGATAGCGGATCAAATGGTGATAAGAAGTTTCAGCTTCATGGCGAGAGGACTTGTTGTTCAGGAGTGGATGATGGTGAGGTGGAAAACCGAGGTGATGCTGAGGAGGCCGTAGGAGCGCCTGGGCATGATTCGATGTCCAGAGACACCATAGCCTTGCGAAATGATTTCAAGAAACGAACGATGGCGAATCAACCGGTGATATTGAACGGCGCAGCTACTGGTTTCCCAATGGGCGGAACTCGAGGAGATTTGCCTAGAGCTGACAGTTTGTTGAGTAATTTGAGTAGTCGGGCTTCACCTTCGGGATTTTCACGGCGTGGGATAAAGAGCAGCTCAAGAAGTAGCGATGAGGAAGACGTCGAGAAGGATCAGCATCATGGAGCAGAGGGCGACGAAGAACATGAACAGGATTTTCTGTTAAAAGTAGAGGAGGTTCTTGTTGAAGAGCCACGAGGAGAAGTTCTTGTGGAGCAGCAGGAGTCCTCAGGAACTGAAGATACTCTAGCCAACTATAGTACTCTTCGTGGACCGTCTCCAGTTCTCAATTCGTGGAATAGTACGTTCGAAGATTTCAAGAGCAATTCTACAAACAGGAACCTTGAACGTAGCAGGAAAAGGGGAGAGCACGTATTTTCAGCTTCGTCCAAGAGAGCCTCGTCTGGTTGTATCGGCACCAGTCGTGGCCCTCGGAGGATGAAAGGACGCAACAATAGCAGCATGAGAGCTGAAAAGATTCGTGGTCGTCGTTCAGCGATAGCTGCTTCTGAGGCTTTGGCCGATGATGTCCAGGAAATCAAGGTGGCGCCAGACGGTGCAAGATTCTTCATGCAATTACGTTTAGAGGACCATCGTAGCGCGTTGTCAAAGGTCATCCGGTTACTGCAAGAGTGGGTCATTATTCTGTCTTGCTTTATCTGCTTGATCTATTGGTGCGCATTATTCGACCCAGCCGAGTACGACGCTTTGACTGGGAATGGCTATCTTGCGCGAAAGTGGGAGCAAGAAGGGATTCCTTCTTTGTCCCGTGTCAGCATGGAGAACATTCAGGAGATTGAGACGTTGACAGATTTAGCAAGGGTTGTGGAGGAACTCACTTTACGTACTGAGGGTGTGCCGGAATGGAAAGACCATGTTTGTGCTCGTCGTGAAAGTCGTGGTTCATCTTCGCTTGTGGAGGCATCGTCCGCGAAGCCACGTACTTCATCCAGCTCTGCGTGGGGGAGGAACAGAGGTGGTCTACTGTCTTCTGCCGATCATGGTGGTGAACTACTCGCCCGTGGGGCTGAACAACTACACCCTACTGAGATAACCAGTGGGGGATCACTGACCTTAACACGCTCTTCCTCCAACCTGAACGTTGACGAGCGGCCTCTGGATCGGTCAACTGGCACACTGCTAGCCGGGTCAGATAGCTGGCGCAGTGATATGCAGTGTCTAAACCACGCTATCGAACGCGAAGTCGAACAACGCACCGATTTAATAGTGTTACGTAACGAAATCACTAGACTGCTAGCAAAGAGGCGGTCATTGCAGGTTGCGGCGCCACTAGTTGCTACTGGTAGTGTTACGAGTCCGACACAACAGCAACAAGAACAACGACCCACTAATGTTGGCGACAACCCAGTATCTTCTGTATCACCAACTTCTGCTGCGTTGGCAAGTCAAAATATGGACAACATAGCATCACCAGCCACCTCTACATCACCAAGTCGCGGCTTGGTCTTGGATGGACCCGTATCACCAGGTGGAGTATCTGTTGGCCCTGGGAGACCTCCTAGTCGGAAAGAAAAGCGAGCCCGCAGAAAGGCAGAACGCGAGAGGGCTCAATTAGTGATAAGGAGGTATAGGAAGAACGAAAGCACACCGGCTTATCCACTGGCGTTGTTCGAAGCGGCGGCGCAGCAAACAAGTCAGCAAAGCTCAAGTGCTACTAAAAATGGCGGTCATGTTGATAATGCCAGTGGTCCACAAATTATAGATCAAAGAAACATTGATACAACAAGCCATGGAGGAAGTAGAAACACGGAGGTTAACACTGTTCCTGTCGCCACAACTACGAACTCCGCTAGCACGACGCCCCACGCCACTGAGGGGACTCCACGACCTTCTCCGAGTTCTTTGACCACCACAGTGAAGGAGGCCTACCCTTTGTCTGCCAAACTGTTTGAGCTGAGCAGGCGATGGCGACAGTTGGCGTTCTCCTTGACATTGATAGAACATGGGGCGATCATATTTTCAGCCATCACCGAACTTGCATTGGTGAAGCAGCGATTTCATCTGGGCCGGCTGATTTTGCTCACGTTGATGCTGCTGTTGTACCTTGGGTGCAACGTTTTCTGGACGCTTTGTTAAGTCACCTAAAAGTATTGTGTAACAGTTTAAATTTCTTTAGAAAAAGTAATCAGGTCGTTCTATCTCTGCTATAGCTATTTACTTCCTGTAGTTGAAACTGTACAAAACGAGTTCAAGGTACAACATGAACATGATGTTGTTGGCAACACAGTCGCTGTGATTAAGGTGTGAACAAGTCACCACTAATGTAGTTAGTTCCTGAGTAGTTTATATCCCTACAACCTATACTTCTAATTCTAGTACGGTCGTGCCGTGTACCCGGATTTACTCGACTGGAAAAAGACGCCGCAGATTGCCTGTTGCGTCATATTGTGTCTAGGACTGCTTCTTTTCGGCGTTTACGCTTTGTTAGCGCATTGTCATCCACCGCGTCTGACGTTTCCTTGTACGTGTCGGAAAAACCCGAAGAAATCTATCATGGACTCGAATGGAGATACCACGAAGGCTGGAGAGGATGCCGCACTTGCTACTGCAGAGTCGTCTAGTAAAAACGGGGATAGCTGCGAGAGGGGTACGTCGAAGGAGGACGGACAAGTATAAACAAAGGTATATATTACATGCGGCATCTTATGGCGCCGCAGGAAATGACGCTATCATACTGACACAAAATCTAATGATACAATGTCGATCCATATATACGGAGTCTCTGATTGCTAGAGTCTCTAACACTTTTAACATATCATGAGTTCAAGATTATACAGTTTCACGCACATCTGCATGTTGACGTTGCATACTTATACATATACATAGTTCATACTGTGGTACGGTACCACATCGCGCAATACCGGCTCTTGAATTCAGTAATTCGCATGTTCCTTTTTTTGATCAGCTTTGGAGTTTCTTTTTGCTGCATATTCTTAGGCGGTCTCAATGTGGCCTTGGCAAGAAATTTGTTCGAAGGATATTTGGGTGTTTCTTCGGGTATGTTTTTGTTAGGGAGCTGCAACCTGTCTCTTTGGTGATCGGGACTAAGGTATACATCAGAAGAAGATCCATATCATGACGCGGCGGGGTATAATACCATCCTCAACGGTTTTTCTCGTTGTTCAACAAGGGTGTTGAACGTGGATCTCAGCTGTGCAGTGCTATCTCATTGTGTTCTCGAGCGATCCATCGGGGCGCGAAGGTCAGAGCGACTTCAACGAGCACTTAACGCAGCAGTCGCTTCTATTTGCCTACGAATCAATTGTTGTAGACCGTGGCATTTTTCTCTGCAAACATCATCAGCACGCTAAATGCCAGATCCTGCTTGTCGTGGTGTGTAGCTTTCTTCTTTGATCATCGTAGCCGCTTTGTTTTGCTAATTCTTATTTTTTCGCACCACTGAGCAACATTCAATCTTTTCACTATTAGATCTATGAAAATTCATCGTGGTCGGCGTTCTATTTTCTTCTTCAACAACTCTGTGCAGTGGCAAAGACTCCATATTATGAAAACGTAGAAAACGGAGGTCGTGAGGACTGCATTAAATTTCATAAAAAAGAAGGTATAATAAGAACACAATCGGTGAACAACGACCATTGTTGTATAGAAGATTTGATTTGAAAATAGGAAATCCTGTGTCGATAACAATCTTGATCTTGTGTGAATTTCGACGAGTGACGCAAAAAGAGCAAATCGGCTGAGCAGACTGAAGTAAGTTCTAGAATGCGGAGGCCTATTCGTCTTCAGTCAGTAAGTTATAAATTTTGATAGGTGCAGCTGTTGTCTTTGTCAGCTGTTGTCTTTGTCAGCTGTTGTCTTTGTGAAGTCGTCTTCTATCAGGTTACTTCCGCGATAACATAGTATACACACACGCACATGGAGGTTATTACAATTACTTGAGGAATTTTTAAGGGCAAGAACCTACTAAAATGGTCTTTTTCGTGTAGTCGGGTGTTTATTTTGCATGTTGGCTCTAGAAGTTTCTTGGTCTACATGGACATAGTTCTTCTTCTTTCATTCACGAGATTACGATCAACGCATTCATAGAACAAGATATAGTCCTTCGTCCCCATACATAAACTTTTGAAAACAGCGGTGGTGAGTCATTTTTGGCTAGAGGGTGATCCGCACGAAGTCTTGTGTCGGTCTTTCTCTTCTATCTAGTAAAAATAGTATTCAGCAAAATAACGACGATCATCAAGTTACTTTCGGTCGGTTTAGGCTGATTTTGGAGAAGATTCTCCTTTTCATCTAGTTGAGACCTATTGTATTCTAAAGGAGCTGCAAGAAGTGGACTCACTCTCATTACAACTTGAGAGAAACAAGTTCGTTTCTACTAGAAGAAGTAGTAGAAGTAGAGCTACTAGACAAGTTGCACGAAAGACGTCGTACTAGTGACTACAAGTCAGTGTCGTGTAGTTGTAGTCTTCCAGCACCCTTCAAAATGCAGGAGTACAAGCTTTTTGTCGGCAACTTGCCTCCAGATATCTCGCAAGAGGACTTGCGGACTGTCTTCAACACTTACGGCATGGTCACAGATGTGCACATTATGACAGGTGTCTATAGCTCTCTATCTTTTACTGCAGAATTTTTTTTTTGAACGCCCTCTTCTTTGTTCACCGTCTTCATCGCATATAGTATGATACCACATGAGTAGTTTTACATATGCATTGATTATGGATCTCCATTCTCCCCCCTTCCCCGCTCCACAGGTCGTTCCCAGTCGGGTGCAGCCTGCGCATTTGTGCATTATGGGGACCAGCTAAGCGCGGATCAGGCAATTGCAGCTCTTAACAAAGCTTACAAAATCCGAATTGACGCTACGGATCCAATTACTGTATTGATAATTTATTTAGGCATTGATTCGAAGTTGCACACGACAAGGGTAACTAACCAGGTAGTCCGCCGTTCTGAAAAATCTCCAAATACATACTAGCCCAGCTTGCTTTCCCCGTCCCATCACCACAAGTGCAGTCGTACTACTGCTAGTACTCCACTACTAAACAAACAACTATTAAAAACAGGTTTCTCACGCAAACCAAAAACAGGTTTCTTACGCGAAGATGGATCGCGCGGGAAACAATTATACTGGTGTCGCCTTTAACCCGTTGTTGAACCCTGCCTTGACGTCTGGGCTTTATCCACCAATCAACCCTTATGATCCGACCAACGCTTACAACATGTACGCGGCTCAGGTACTTCAAGAACAGTCACGCTGCAAGCCAATCAATCTTCAAAAATGTACTTCCTTGTAAACAAAAATTAGACGAGGTGGCCCTTGACATCAAACTTCAACAGCAAGCAATGGCTATCACTCTCCACAATCTTCACAGCAAGCAATGGCTATCACTCTCCACAATCTTCACAGCAAGCAATGGCTATCACTCTCCACAATCTTCACAGTAAGCAATGGCTATCACTCTCCACAATCTTCACAGCAAGCAATGGTCGGTGGCGCACCGGGAACCCCTGGAGCGGACTTTTTGAACCCGCTCTATAATCCGTTAAACCACCTGTCAATGCTGCAGAAGGGAAACAATGCTACCAGTATGGCAGGATTTGGATCTCAGGATTTGTATGGTGCATTTGGACAAGGTTGTAAAAAATTTTCAACCTGCTCTCAGGAATATTATCGACCGAAGTCACCTCAGACCAACATCGTTACTCAAGAACAAGCATTTCTAGCCTCGAAAGCACAACCATATTCTTGTCCCCTCACCCTATGTACTGATATTGAACGGAACCAGGCAGTTACTTGTAATTGCTACGTGGTTCGAATGAATGAATGAAAAGAAACACCCTCCCTCCCCTCCTCCCTTCATTCCCCGCGGCGGTCCCGGTGGTATGGGTGGTGGTATGTTTAATGGTAAAAAGGGAAGTGGAGGCATGAATGGTTACAGTGGTACGCAGAAGGGTCCTCGACCGGGAAGAAACCCACATCCGAATCATCCGGGAAAGATTTTCGTCGGAAATCTGCCCACCGATATTACCAAAGAAGTGCTTAGACAGGTATTACCAAGGAAGTAGTCAGTAGGAAGGAGGCCTCAATTATGTTCTCTGATTTAGCAACGTCTCATTCTCAACACCGGCCAACCACCAACATTTTGAATAATATTATGTTATATGAATAGGTCTTCTCCACCTACGGTGTTGTAACGGATGTTCACGTAATGGTTGGCAAATCTGACAGCGGACAAGCATGTGCCTTCGTGGAGTACCAGCAGCAGATTGAAGCACAAACTGCGATTAACACGTTGAACAACAACTACGAAATCAGAGAGGGATGCGGAAAAATTGTTTTATGTGGTTCCGGACTTGAAGTTCGCCAAAGACAACATTAGTTTTATCGTGAATCTTCCGACTTTGGTCCTGATGACAACATGATTAGTTTGCTTTCTTCGTAATCGAGATGGTATTTTTCAATTTAGTTTTGCCAGTCCTGCTCTCGTTGCTGTAGAAGTTCTACTCGTTTGTGGAATCTTGTCACATCGATTCATCCTGCCGATAGGTGCTATAGGCTTACCAGGGATGCACAGAATAGCCCCCCCTCTACCCAATGCACCACAATTAAATACTGGAACATCACCTCGTGCTAGGTAAATGAATGAATGAATGAATGAATGATCAACACGCTGAACATGATAAGTACCTTCTCCCCCTTTCCCCATGCTCTAATCTCCTGTCGTTTCTACGAGAAACCGGACTCTGGTCGCCCGGGTGGCTTGAAGGGCGAAACAAGTTCGACCTTTCATAGTGGTTCCACTTACAAAGGCGGGTATGGCCAAGGAAGCCAAACCACATCGTATTATGGCCAAGGCGGAAAGAAGGGATCCGGAAAGGGACGATACAGTATTCATACTGAATACGGTTCAGGACGATTTCATAGGATTTTCAATGTTTGCAGTTGGCCAGAGACGAATTCTACTTCTTGTCGTCGATTAAGACAGAAAGAGACTACTTGGAGACTACTAATTTCTTAACTGATGTAGTCCTCTCATGATCATCAACCTTCTTCTTTACTACCCTTGTTAGGCACATACCTCTTGTTAGGCACATTCATTCATTCATCACCAACCTTCCATTCTCTCCGAATTCTTACAACGTATGACAGGTTCCGATCACTCAAGCGGTTATGGCAACCGCTACAGGCAGGAGGATTCGTATTCTAAGGACAAGAACAACAATCTGAATGCCGAACCGCAGAAGAGTCCCATGATTCAGCAACAGCATGCCGCATTCTTATCAGCGAGCCCGAACAAAGACAAACCGAATGGTATCTATAAGATCTAGTAGTTGTAGACTTCTGGTTATGTATGATGTTGAGATGGAAGACAAACCAAATGATGTTGATGGTACTGGAAGTATACTTCTGCTGTTGTACTAGTGGAGGTATGTTGAGTAGATCAAATAAAGAAGATAGAGATACTCTACTTTTTATCTATGAAAAAAATGCTTCCAACTAATTCAAAAGGTCCCCAAGAGAGTGCGAATCTGTCGACTCCGCAGAATGATGAGCGTGCCGACAGAGGCTTCCGCAAGACGAGTCCGGCTCAGAAGGTCGCCACTAAAAGTACCACAGGTTCCCCGGGTGAGGAAGGTAATATTTGAGGTATATCAATGTCCTTTTTGTTTCATTGGCTAGAGACCGTCTCCAAGGTTGTAGTTAATTTGGCTTGTAAGAACAATCAGTATCGATGTAATTATCCTATTTCTCAATACAGGTGCTTCCACAGAGAGCCCTTCACAGGTCGCTTTAGTGGCTTGAGACGGTTCTCGAGCTTAAGACAAGGATTCATTGAAAGACGAAAAGAACGGAGGATCAGAAGAAAAGAAGGAGATCTGTGCTCCTTTGGCTCAGTCTCCTAGCTTTCTTCTCAGAGGAGGGGAACATTGGGGTTTCTACAACCTGGAACATACTGAACAGACGGGGACTTTTTATGAAGAAGAACTCCCTTGTATCGCAGATTCGACATACAAGAATCGACATACTAAATTTCCACAACTGTTTCCCGCAATGCTGGATCATGGAGGAGCATCTGCTACTCAGTTTCTTCTAGTCTACTTTTCAGGAGAAGATTCAGGAACCAACATCTGTTCTTGATGTCAAGAAGGCGTGTTTGCTGTGTTGGGTCTAGCAATGTGGGAAGTGGAAGATGGTGGACATAAGTTTAAGGTCTGCGACGGCAATCCATTTCCACGGAGTGGATGTAGTGTTTTTGCTTCAGTTATATTTTCATGCTGCTCAAAAAGAAGAACGCTCTTAGGAAATGAAAACTACATCCACACACTGAACAGGTCGATAAGAATCTGCTCAGCGAAGGAAATGGGTTATCTCAGAGTTTACCTTCTAATACGCACATTGGGAACAAAACGGTCGCCGAAGCATGATACATCAACATCGATCATGGCATGAAAGAACTCAAAATGGAAGTATCCTGTTCAACATCGACTTGCAGCTAGCAACTTGTTACACAAAATACTCAGGAGTTGGATTGCCACGAAAATGCTTGTACTACAACTTGCTTGAAGGAAATAAGAAAACTTGAACTTCTTGGAAGATGAAAGCTCGTCATGTCCTTTTACTTGTAGAAGGACGCGATAGGTTCGTGTTGGGACGACTTGTCATGTCCTCCTACCTGTAGAGGGACATTTGTTATAGCCACTTTGAAGAGACAACACTAGTTGAACGTGAAAACCTACATGGAGAAGAATCATGATGACACATTGATAAGAACATCAACATCGACAACATAGAAGTGGGCTTCCCTAACAGTAAATGCCGCCAAAGAGTGGTTACTGTTGCATCCTTCATCAAAGAGAAGTAACAAGCGACAACATAATCACACCTGCTAGAGAAAGAAAATGGAAGTGCTACTCAACGTCGACATGTTTACTTGTAATTTCTACTACGAGCAACTACTCCTAATCTGGACTTGCTTAAAGAACGTCTGATCTAGTACTTGTTTTACTATGTTAGTTAGTCTTTCAGATTGTGAAGAACCGTTAATATATGGTAGAAGTAATCAGAAGAATAATGAGATAAACTAATTAGATCTCATCATGATCTTGACACGACAGGGGCCTGGTGACAGAAGCTGTTTTTGAAAATACTAACTTTGCAAGAATGAAGATTTGACTTGATAGATGTATCTATGATGATGTTAGAGTTGTTGGAAGTCATGCTACTCAGGTCCTTGAGTTTTCTTACTTTTGTTGTGTGTTTACACAAGGTTGGACTCGGTTTTTTCTCCTGTCGTGTCTGACGCCAGTCAGTCTTTCGTGTCCGTTTTTATCAAATTATCGCTGTATTATGATCAACAGAACTTATGAATTTTTCCTTGTCAATTACGATTTGTACTACTTACACTTGATAATAATTTCTACTTTGTTTATACTTTTCTCTTGTCGATACCGATAGTACCAATAGCTACTTTGTATGTTCTAGACGGAAAAGGATGGAACACAATCACTCAAACTTTTCATCAAACAAAAATAAATCCTAATATGTCACCAGTTGTCGTTCCTTGTTGTAATAAATCGATCTGATAGAAGAAGAGCAGGAGGTCGAAGTGTTTTTATTTCAATGTAGTTGTCACCAAGTCGATGTTGGTTCTTGAATAAAGTCCTTCTAAAGCACGAACGTTAGCATAATCTCATTTTCAATTCGTTTGTTTGACCCTCTGATTTGTTATCTTGGAGGCAAACTACACTAACACCTCTTGCTAGGTAAATGAATGAATGAATGAACACGACTTCATACTAGGAACAAGATAACACAGGAGGAGCAACAAAAAATTCGAAATATTATTGATACAGTAGTAGATCTTCGTTGAATATGAAAATGAATCTTTCCCAGAAACTGCTAGAAGGAAGTGTGCATGTGGAACCGTCAATTTCCTCCTCAGAGCGTCTACATGTGAGGCGTGCATGTGGAACCGTCAAGTTCCTCCTCAGAGTGTCTACATGTGAGGCTTGTTGAGCTCCATGCGAGACACGGCTGATGCGTGGAAGGCTCTGATATATCATCAGCAGCTAGTCTATCAGGTACAACTAAAGACGGGGGGATACGGGATGCCTTTTGCTGACACAAACTCAGGCAGAAAGTGTCGGAGACGCACTAGGGTCAGTAGCTAGACCTAGCTACGGAGGACGGCGTCGCCGATAGAAGTAGATGGAGTTGAGCATGGTCTTTGACGTGGCCACTTACAGACACCCCAACGCGCGGTTGATACAACATTGTCAATTTGTGTTACATGGGGAGCGGACCACACTCCACCACAGCGACATGAACAATCATAAAAGAGCAGAACTTTTTTTCATCAGTAGTCGATCCTTGTTCTTATTAATATCAACTGGGAAGCAGTAGATGATGTTTATGTGCAGCGGGTAGCAGATGATGATTGACTGATAATGGCATGGGAGGACTTCTTTCTAATCTGCAACGTGGTCTAACATTCATTCGAAGAAGAATGGGGGGAGAGATAAAAGAGATGCATAGAAGTACACAAAGAACACGTTCTTGAAAATATAACATCAGAAGCACAGCACAGTAGGGAATGAGATGGCAAGAATTGCGGTGTGAGGCAATGAAGGGCTAGGGGTTTTAATCTCATGTTATTTCTTGCTCGTACGCCGTGTAGGGTTCAGATTCCTTGCAAGCACCTTGCAGTGGGAGTGCAGCAGCGTGGTAAACTCGACCACGCGGGTGCTGCTACAGGGGCTCGCACCTTTGATAATAAAGAGGGCTCAGTTTGATACGGGTACAACTACCTATTTTATCAAACGGTGCGACCTTGGTACGTTGTCCCATGACTAACCCTGTTATGAGCCCTCAGTGCGCATACATTCACCTCAGGTAGAATTGGAAACAAGCCGTGACAGTTCGGCTTCCATCGCGTCTGGTTAATTCAAGGAATAAAGAAGGTAGTCGTTCTCTACTACTCTCTACTTCTTGTTCATCTTGATGTGGTTCCCTAGTAGTCGTATGAAGATCAACATACTTAGCAACATCTTGACGTCAATAAAAGCTGTTTGAAAAACCGTTTCTTCAAAATATGGTTGATTGTTTTCTTGAATAAATTGCGTCCTTGAAGACTAATTCGTTATTGCATCTTGTTGCTTGGTATTGGTTCTCAAGTATCTATTTGAATTTGGATTTGCTTGAAGTCAATCTTTGAAAGTGGATTTGTAATCTCTCTTCTTTTGTTGTACTTCTGTCACCATTTCCGGCTGTCTGTCGTCCAAAAGACAATTTCACGCATGTGAAGGATGCTAGTTTCCTTCTCAAGGGGTGACTCTGGTTTAGGTTCTTTGTTCGAATATTTAGGCTGGTGATCAAAATTGTGGTACACGGCGGACTTATTTCGACGTCTTTTTTTCGGAAATTCATTTTTGACTTCAACTTCAAGAATGCAGCTTGTTGCTTGCGTGTGGTGCGCATCGGTCTGATGAGGCATGAAGAGTGGTGAGAATGTGTTTGCAGAGCGACCTGCTTGCATAGAAAACGAGTTGGAGTTTCATTTGTACTACGTCACCTTGAAAAACTTTAAACCCGAAAGGAGCATTCAAGCACACATTAGAAATTTATGAACGAATAAACTCTACTACTTTCTGTGTTTGAAAATAGTACAACAACTGGGTAACTCTAATAGCTCTACCTGTGAACAAGTATTGCTGTCTTTTTAGGAATTAACCTATTGACCCGATCCGATTTGATCTGAGATATCATCATGAACTATAGACAAGAAAGAATGACAAAAATGCCTGCAACTACATCTTCAAATAATGCTGGCTTGCCCCCTCATGGCGCTTCGAGGATCAACGTGGGTTAAGGCAGACATGTTTCTACTCCTAGGTCGTAGCTCACGTTGCCGAGTGAAGCTATACTTAATTTTCGCCACGCCGTCGCACCTAGTATTATAAGGAGGTAACCGGACTCCACCCGCCGCCGGTTTGCGAACCGGATAAAGCTGAGGCCGCTCCTTCAGTAGCCCCGGGATCCAAAAAAAAAAGTCCAGGCAGAAGCGAGGCCCCCTTGAATCTTGAATCTTTGGATGTAGGTTTAGTTGCTGTTTGGTGTGGTCTTTTGTTCACTTCAGCATTCGGAGAAGATACCTGTTACCTTAGACTGTAAGCTACTTAATACTATTTTTCTCTTCATCTAAGCAGACACAAAGACGTTTTCTCTTCGCGATGGAAATACAACAAGGCACGCAGATACCAACACAAGACGAGGAGAATTCTTGCTGCGTGAGCTGCACAACGAGAGCTGGCGTGGTCATCGTGCTCGAGAAACAGGACAGGCTTTGCAACATGCGGAGCAGATCTCCTTTCCAAAATGGATGGATGGGTTCCCTGCGTCATCGTCGTCCTCCGCAAGGAAGAGTCCTCGTCAAGATATTGTACAGCCAATGAATACGAAGCAGAGAAGCCCAACATCTTTGAGTAAGAAGAACAGTCCATCTTCTCAGTTCTTATTGTCCTCGGAAAACAGAGCAGTGCATGTTGGAGGAGGCAACGCCGGTGTGAAATTAAGGCTTCTTTGGAATTCCGTGATCCATCAGGCATTGAGTTTTTGCGGGAAAAAGCATCTCCATGATCGACACAGACACTACGGACTATTCTTTGGACCTCCTCTAATGACAGCGCCATCTGTAGAGCAAAATATTCCAGTGTATCCCGCATCGAGAACGAGATCAATGTTACATCGATCAATGGGAGCAGGACAGCACTCGCCAGGTGGCACTATCCCTGCTTCTGTTAAAGTAGAAGGAAGCCAACATGTTCCCGTCGATGGGAGAAATCCTCCGGGACAAGCACAACCGCAACAGAAAGCACAGCAGAGACCACATCAGACACCACCAGCACAAGAAGATCATTTACTGAAACCGAACGGACCCTTGAAACCTAGTAAGTGGGCGTTGAATGAGGTGGAGCGCGAACGAAGGGTGCGTGAAGAGTTGTCGTTCTTGCTTTCGTCATTACAGATGGAAGCTACTGAGGAATTAAAGCGAGAGACGGGGGATAAAAGAAAAGGAGGAGCAGCTGGTCGAGTCCCAGTATTAAGACCAGGTGCTGTCTTAGTATCAAGTACGTATATATAAGGCTAGGCGAACTAGGTGTCTGAGAATCAGTATTGAGACGAAGCTGTTAAGACTAGGTGGATGCTTCTGCTGGTGATCTCTTCTGTATTAGCTAATTCGTTGTGAAAGGAGGGGGCAGAAGAAAAATATGTTATGCGGAGCTATACCGAATCTTTAGATCATTATATGATCGTCTACTAATGTTTCGTGAAATCCGCGCGCAGGAGGCTCTGTTTTCGTTTCTTGAAGGGCGACCGGCGCCTGTGCATGAGAGGGAGTGGCGTTTTACTTGAGTCGGGATCACGGACCATGCCTCAGGGACGGCAGATGCAGGGTTTCGCTAGTAAAGCGCAGTTTTTGCCGCCTACTAAAGGTCTTGCACAGTGTTGAAAGAAGCCGGATGACACTGCTTGCTTCATGATAGAATTTTGAACAGAACATGCTGCATGTATGAAGCCGCTCGTGATCACGCAGTATGAAGAAAACTTTTCCTTGGAGCACTCACTGTGTAGCGTAAATACTTGGTGAAAGGAACGATTTGTGCATTACTTAGATGAAAGAAACGACCGTAGATAATTTCTACTCAGCTCAAGAATCAATCTGAAAAAGACATGACGCAATAGAAGATTTAAGCTTGTTGCTCTCTACTTTGAATCAGCCTCATCAAAGAGATGATTGGTGCCCGCTCTTGCAGTTCGTCACAGTCAGAAGTGCAAGAACATCAGTGTTAGTATACTCCTGGAATGTTGGTCAACTCATCAACCTGAATTTCTTCTGTCAAACTTGAGACCTCCAATCTGTGATCATCGAGTGTGAGTTGTTATCCTCTAGTGGCAATGAAAAAAAGCATGTTGATATTCATTCAGATCACTTGGTTTATAAGGGGCGAAGCGAGTCAAGTAGACCTACACTTAGACTTGTACTATTTATGTGAGGGTAAGTGTACATGCACTAGAAGTACTCTGTTTGTATCTGTACTGAGAAAACAGGTTGACACGTTTCACCAGTGAGAACTCAAGGAGTTGTCGAGAGCATTAGATTGAGGAATCTGTGAAATCCGAGTCGTCCAAATTCTGTCTTATCTTGCGAGTTGTGATTCATAGCTACTCCGAAAAGAAAGTAGATGATGATCAATCTATCAATGGTCATCAAGGTCTTCGTCTACTAAGAAGTATCCATCTACAACATCCTTTTGAGCTTTGTTGTTTCGGATTTTGCTATGGTAATTTTACTCTTGATTTTTCCTATGAGGCTTTCTTCAACATGATTGACAATCCCTAAATCCAGGCTTTTTTACTTTCGTTTTCTCCCTGTTCCCTTGCTTTCAACCCCGAATCAAACAGAAATACAACTCCCACAAATCTAATCAAATACAAACTCAAATACTTCTACTTTCCTCTTCTATACAGCTTCCACTTCGCTCTTAGAACTATCGTCTCTCACTTCTTCTCCGTCTAATATTTCGCTTTTACATCAATCGTCTCTCATACATTAGCTATTTCGTCCTTCTTGTCGCTCTTAGATCTATCGTCTAAGGCATATCAAAAGAATGGTCTTCTTGTTCCACCTCTCGGACGAGTTTGCTCGCATATCGTCCCCCATCTCGTCCCCGGGTGATTGTTCGCCGGGAGATGCTTCGCCGGATGATGACGCGCCGGCGGCGCGGGTGGTGCCGCGGGCTTTTGCGGATGCTGGTGCCTCGTTCGTCTCCGTCTATCGAATGGCGGACAGCGATGACGAGGACGACGAGGAGGAGGAGGAGAGTGACGCGGTGGCGTGCTGGTGGGACGGGTCCCTTGAGCTGGAGGGGCAAAGCGGTGGGATGGGGGAGCGAAGCGGCCCGGAGTGGTTCAATTTGGCGGCCGATGAGGTGGCTGAGGAAGAAGCCACAGCGGCGACGCTTTTGGGCCTCCTGTTCCTCTTGGTTGCCTTGGCCTTTTGCCTTGTGGGGGTTTTCGGTATTTCTTTGCTTATTATTTTTTCTTTGTATTTTCCGCTCCTCTTTTAGTCTGTTACTGCAGCTAGTGAGTTAGTATCTGTGTTTATGTGATACAGCTTATTTAGTAGGTTATTGCCAGTAAGTTCGTAATAGTAAGCTAGTATGAGAATTTCAGTATCAGTAAGTTAGCGTCGGTGAGTCAGTACTAGTAAGTTACAGTATCAATATTTCAGCAATCAGCATCAGCAAGTGAGTGCCAGTGCCAGCATTTTAGTATCAGTAAGTCAGTACTACTGTTAATTTAGGACCAGTAATCTAGTATCAGCATTTTAGCGTCAGTATAAGTTCGCATCAGAAGTAGGTTAGCGTTAGTATCAGTAAATGAGTGCCAGCACCATTTTATTACCAGTAGGTCAGTATGAATAGGCTAGTGTCAGTAATCTAGTGTCAGACCAGTAACTTAGTGTGAGTGATATAGTACAGGTGCGCTAATGTCAGCAGCCTAGAGCCACCAAGTGTCGTTGCGTAGACATAGCGCTAGTGAACTTGACGAAAACTTCTAACAACCACAGGCCTGCTGGTGAACGTGGCGTTTGGCCTGCTTGTGCGGGTCACGGAGTCCTTAGCCAAGCTGGTGAGTCTTGCGCTCGAAAGTGCACAGTCTACCACCAGAGGAACAAAAAGAGAGCGAGCGCGGGCTATGTGTATCCGGCGGAGGTACAGCCTGTGGCAGGTGAGTCAATTCCTTTCCTATAATCCTGGACATGATGAAGACAACGAGGACGGACGTCAGCGCTTGCTGAGCAAATCCACTCACTGAGCAATATTTGTGCTTCTATAATTTGAATTGTTAAACATTAAAAACCATGGAATCGACTGCGACGGCGATAATTTACTTACCCAAAAACAAATAAATGTTCAAAATCATAACAGCAAAAAGCGTAGTGCAGCTTTACAGTGTAAAAAAAATGCCATAATTGATATGCTAATAAAGTAACGTGGTCGACAGCAGTACGACCAAAAATCTAGTTTGTAGAAACTAATCGTCTGTTAATTTGAAAAAGTGATGACGTTTATGATTTGTTTCCGTGTATTATAAAACTAGTGAAGTCCTCCAAGTAGGAGTTGGTAACTGAAACTGTACTAATAAGTTAGAGCTGCAGATTGTTTTCATTGAAGAGCCTCTCAGCATGTTCTCATGTTGGAGCCATAAGTAGCACTTTCAGCACGTGAAACAACTCATATGGAACAGAAAACAGATGTAAACCACAACGACTCCATATCTGTCGCAATCGATGTAATAATGTATTCGAAAATAAGGTGTGCTAACTGTGAGTTTGAACGAACGAACAAGATCACCAACAATTTCTCATGTACAAAGAAACGTAAAGGTATAGTACTGTTCTTGTCACTGAGTGACACATACTATCTAGGGCCTGAAGGCCATACAGTCCGAACCAAAACGAATGACTTCTTGTGTACAAACTAAGATATGAAAGGCGTAGCTGCAGCCTTGTACTATTAAATTGGAGCAGCAAACTGTTGAAGGGAGTATATGGACAACTGTCCGCATCACTGAGTGATGCATACCAACAAGTCCGAGCACCATCAGTCCAAATCGCACTGACTTCTTCTTGTGTACAAAGGAACTCATGCCTATACGCTTGCCTTGTCGCAGGTGAGCCAACTCCTATCCTATCCTAAGCGTCAAAATAAGCCGCTAGCATGCCGTTGATTATGAATCTCCTGGTAGCAACGAACGAAGAAAGCTGCTTTCATACGTAGGTTCTCGTGCTACGATGGTGGTGATGTTCCCAGTAGAGCTGCATTGAACTATTTGCTCCAGAGAGATAATGGTTGTGGATATGCTCAGGTGGGAGAGAATGTCCCAAAAAAGAAACAAAAGACTCATATGAACCATGAACATGCTTGAAATGCTAGATGGACCACCTGGAGAACCACGAGAAACACAAAAAAGTTTTTGATATTACTATGATTGTGCATCAACATAGATACATTTTTACTTCGGTTTGGTACGTGTTGTGCCTCATCAATGAATACAGAACTTCAAACTTCGGCAAGACCAAGAGGCTGACACCATGGAAACATAAGAAGAGAGAGAGAACATAAGGGCACAAGACTTTGAAAAAAAGTAAGTCTTGCGAAACTAGTACGAACATCAACCTGTGAAGACGTCATCTCGTTGTTTATATTTAACATTTCATCTCACGACAAGAGATTCTATCAGAGATCCTATCAGAGAAAGCTTCTATCCTACTACTTACTACATGTACATGTCTTATCCTACTACTTACTACATTTTTTGCATGTACTTCTAGTACATGTACATGCTTCATGGACGAGTCACAAAATGTCGATGTCCGCGTCGGAGCTTGTGAGTGGGAATGCAGACTTCCAAAAGCGTCTGGACGAGTACGTTTTCAGTCTGAAGAAACAAATCGCTCTCGATGTGAATAACAAGGCGACGGTGAAGGAAGGCACATTAGGGGTAGACACTCAGCATCTGGCGTGGAGTATTCTGAGTGGAACCTTCTTGGATTCAAGAGGAATATTCAAGAGGGGGGAAACTCAGGGAGCCACTCCATCGCAGGTACTGAGTGTCTAGCGTTAAGCATAGGAAAAGACAAGTCGAAGTCCTCTTTATCTTCTCCCTTGTCTCCAGGGGGTGCCGGAGAAGGTGGAGGTAGTAGTGGATCAGCCAGTCGGCAGCATGTTGGACGAGGAGGTGGTGTCATGGGAGCTACGCGGAAAAATCTGTTCGAAGCTTCTGCAGAACCGCATCAACTGAGTGCAGGATTGGACTACTTGCGAGAGCTTGGCCTGTCCCCACATGTGGGTGGTAGGGCGTCTGGCCGTGCAACCAGTAGAAGTAGTGCGGCTGGGTCTCCTCTACTAGATTCTGAGTTGGAAGCGCGCACGAGGGACGATCTCAATCGATGGCATGCGGCAAAAAACAAGCCGGCGAGCCAAATTTAAGCATTTAGAATGTACAAGTGTTTCAGGAGGAGTTGTTTCGAATTTGATTCAATTTAGAAGCAAGCCACAGCAGAGCAGTTACGCATCTGTGAATCATTACACCTCGTCTCGTGCCATTCATCTTCTTTCAACCTGCTTTAAACCTACTTCTTCTAACCTGCTTCCTCAAAGTTGAGTAATGCGGCGTCCTCTACTCGTCTAGTACCATTGGAAGAGGACAGCACGGCTCAGAAACCAGCAGGTCGTACTTCGTTTTATCTCTCCGGAGGAGCACGTGTAGAGGCTGAGGAACGTCTGGCGTTGGAACACGAGAAGCAGTTGGTGAGTCTCAGTCTAGAGGAAACGCAGAAAAAAGTGGTGCACTTTCAGATATGGGAAGCTTTTATTCATCTCTCAGAGCATCTCAGAGCATCTCTTCTCCAATGAAATGTGTTGAAAAGCGGAACAAGGGCATCGAGATGAGGGAAGGCCAAGTGAGATGAATTTAAGCGCACCCGCACTCTAAGTCGAAACGAACTGCGACAGCAGCAACGTGCAAATGAAGAGCTCATTGGGACTTTGGAGAGCACGCAACAAGCAAACAAGGAATTGCAAGGACAGTTGCGAGGCCAGGAACGCCAGATCGTCAAACTGACGGATGAGCTAATCCGGAAAGATGAGTATGGCAGGTTGTAGATTTGCTTGATCCTCTCGTATACAACCAACGAAAAATAAAAACGTATTACTGCCACATTTAGTGGCTCTCTTGCTCCTCTCCACCCTTTTTCTTCTTCCACTTCCCTCCGTTCCCCTCTCTTTCTCTCCTCTTTCTCTGTCTTTCCCCCCTTCCTGCTTCTTTCCTCCTCTCCTCCCCCTTAGCTTCATCTCTTTGAAAAGAGCCGAGAGGGTGAAGAATCCAAACGGTTGCTGGATGACGCGACAGAGAGTCATCATGAGGAGTTCCGGAGGCTTGAGGGTAAGCTAGAGGATTTCAGGCGCCGATCCAACGACCATATGGCAGCATGGCGCTTGCGCATTCGGAATCTGCTCAATGGTGTGCTTGTAAACGTGAGAAGACTGAGTTAAGGATGAATGATTGTGATTTGTTCATAGTAGTACATGATGGGATGCTCAGGTATTTGCGTCTAGGTGTCATTCGTTCACCATCACAAGCACTATTCTCTCCGCTCCAATGCTTGTTTATAGTAGTACGTAGTCTCAAGTGTCCTTCATGAAGTTGAACTACAGGGTGATTAGTTGTCTCCTGTGTCCATCTCCATACGTTGCAGTAGTGGCAGAACCAGAAGTTTACACTCTAACTCTCGTCGGACTACCATGCGACACGAAACAGTACGAAGGCGCAAATGGAAAGCTTTTTTCATGAGATTTTAGTGCATGGAATAGGCCGTTCAATCTTGTCGGAAGTGAAATCGCGAAGTCGGAAATTTGCCGAGAAGGAAACACAATTGCGAACAAACGTGCGAGACTTGACGAAAGATTATGTTCGCGACGTAGTAATCTACTTCATAGCTTGAAATTGAAATTTCATCTCTTCATCATTTTGATTTTTGCTGTGCAGCTTGGTAGTGAGTGTAGTTCTTGTAGCAAATTCAGCATCTTCTGGAAGCCATGAACGAACCAAAGATCCATATTCACCTGTTCTAATTCAAGTTAGAAGATGAAAAGAATGCGCGCAGAAAGGAGGTACAGACGTGGAGCCAGCGACACGCACAATTACTGGCAGATACGGATCAAATCAAGGTACAGCTTCCTGGGATTTGTATTAAGGTCCATGTATGACTATGAATCTACAGAAGGTACTACAGGATAGTTGACAGGCCTCAACGGCGTCAGGAAGACGCAGATAAGAGGTTACATGACATTGTCATTGTCTTCATCATCTCTGTGTCTCCTTATTGACTCGTCCAACATGCGCCTCTGTAACTGTATGCATTTTGTGATGTGTCAACTCTTGAATACCAACACTTCACCACGCCAGGTAAAGTCCTCCCGTGACGGCAATGCCGCAGCCGCGCAGATTAAGAGCCTTGAGGATGCGTTGAGAGGTGAACGCGAATTACTCGGGAAAGAACGAATGTTACGGCTGGGTTTCGAAAGGTGGTATTTCCTACCTCAATATTTAAGTACTTAGTTATCCCAAGCAGCTATGACTCTAGTCTTCCTGCTCAAGATTCATGTTTTTGTCACCAACTTAAACTTCACCAGTGAGAATAATTGCCCGACCAGTCCGCTCTTACTCTCTCTCTCTCCCTCAAGGTATAGCTACCACTTTGTAACAACCAGCTTCCTCAATTCTAATAGAAGAGTTCGAAGGCATTATCGATGAAGGATTGCGGTACAAGAACGAGGCAGAGGAAATGATCCAAAATGCGAAGCGAAAATGTGCAGAATTGACAGAAGAATGTAATACTACTACTTAGTGAAGTACTTTTCATTTCACGCCTAGTCTCTCAGAACAACCATCTGATCGTCGTCCTGATTTGAGAAATCATGTCGTTTATTTGAAATTCCAGTGTACTAGTCAATTTGAAACAATCACCACCGAAAGGTCGCCAGCTCCGTGCCGACACGACTCAGCAAACTGATAGTGTACACTCGCTTCATAACCGTCTCCGCGAACAGGAACAGGCGGTTCATGCGGCCCAACTGACTGCGGATTTACTAAGGGAGCAAATTGAGGATCAGAAAAAGCGATACGAGGAACAATTCGATTTTGAAGTAAATCGATTGAAGCGAGAGTTAAGAGCTAAAAGCAATTACTCGAAAACTGAAAATATTACCCGAGTTACTGACTGAAATACGGGATCTAGCTTTGACAGGGCTACTCTTCCTTGTTCAGTATGTCGCTTGTTTTCAGTAGTTACTTGCTTATTTCAGTTTTTCGAATAGCTTTGCTTTGCAACTATGCTGATAGGTGGCCATGGTTAAGGACTCATCACCAGGAAGGATTCGACCCTTTATTTGTATTATAGTGGCATATGATGTGGCATTACTTCTTATCATTTCTTTGACACTCCTATTGAATAGTAACGGATAACAACTTGAATTTCTTCAATCCTGTCTTTCTCTCTCTAACATACTACGAAGACAAGGTTATCGCCTTCTCGGAAACTGGACATGCGATTGGCACTGACATGGCGAGAAATGTTCAGTTGCTGCAGGATGACATTCGTCGTCTGAAGGCCGAAAACGAGGCTCTTAGTATGGACAAGAAGGCAGCTGATAATGATATGATTGGGATTGAGCATTGTCTAAGGTGTAAGTGGATCACACTAGCATCACTTCGTAAAGCTATAATTTGTAATCCAATGGTGTCTCATACGACACCAACGAGTGAATTTCTTTTACTTATATGGTCCACAGCTGCCAGTATCACAGAAATACTGTCAGACCACGTCTCTACGGTCACCATGAACGGTGATAACAGGGACAATAGCATGCAAATTACTTTACTCCAACTTCGAACCTAGTAGTTCCCACACCGACCCCCACGGAAATTAATCTGAAGAATGTCCCTCCTTCTAATTCATATTATAGTACCTGGAGCAATGGAACGCAAGGGATGGATTTAAGGAGAGGATCGAAAGTCTGGAGCAAGAGAAGGCGAAAATTGAGCTTATGTTTGCTGAGGCTAGGATCGCCTGGGGCGAGAAGGAAGAGACCTTGCTGAGGGAGTTGGAGAGGGCAGCAGGCAAAGACGTGGAGTTAATGCAACTGGCTAGAGATCGACGAGAGGTAGTTCTGTTGATTTTGAAGTTTGCCTTTTTCTTATTCTACGACCGTTTTTTACTAAAATAGAAAATTGAATGGTTCCGTCTAAATTGCAGTGCATTCTTCCATACAACTTGTGTAAGACGCTGATCAATCCATCTTATCCCTACAGCTCGAGTTGATTTCGCAGACAAAGGAACAAGCACTTGCGGATAAGACTGGCCAACTGAGGCAGGATTTAGAGCTTCTAGAAAGCGAATTTAGAGAAGAGCTCGCTCAAAAAACCAAGGAGTCGAGGGAAAATCGCGAAGAAGCTAAAGTTAAGGACTGAGCCTGACGAGGATAGTTGTGTGACATTCTAGTAATTCTACTATTTTCATCCACCTTGCAATAGAAGTACATGTAGAGAACTCTCTTCAAACCTCTCTCTTATAGCATTAGAAAACCTCTAACCGCCTCTTGCGCCAACAATTGGACAGCGAAAAAGAACAAACTCACCGACTTGAACTTGAGAAAAGCGAGAAGGCGGAAAAGTGTAAGATATTGGAGGAAAATGTAATGTATGAGCGTGGAGAAAGGGAACGAGGGAGACGCGAATACGAAAATTGGAGGTCAGATTAAGGCTCTCGTGAGATGGGGATTACTTCTTGTAGAGTAGTTGTCACCTTTTTAATCCATTTTTCAAACAAACTAGATCGATTGACTAGATGGAAGAAATCCTCAGGGACATCTGCTTAGGGAGCTTGCCGATTAGATTCAAATCATCAACTCACAGCCACAGTTCAAAACCAAAAGTGAGAAAAAGAACAAACATCTCGTAAACTACAACCAAAGACCTCGCGTCACCGCCTGCTTGCTTCTAACAAAAGCATCAAGAGCAAGTTCGTGAGTTGCGTTTAAACTACGAAACCGCCTTGGCCGAGTACAGTGAAGAAAATGCTGCTTTGAAAAAAAAGGTTGCGGAATTGTCTGGCGAAATTTCGAAGGTTGCTTCGTCCAAAGACCGGGATAATGCGAGTTTGTATTCTTAAGATCATGTACGAACGTTGCGTTTTAACCTTGATGAGGTAGAAACAGATTCAGAAAGTATCGGCAACAACCTTCCCTCTCTTAATATTTTTTCTAGTTGAAGACGCACATTATAAGAATATATTATACAACGGAAGTTGCAACTTTTCCCTTCTAATTCCCCCTAGTAGAAGACGCGCGTAAAAATCTGGCGACGTTGCAGAACGAACAACAAAAGGACACCAAGGAGCTAGAAAAGCTTCGCAGGAAGTATCAAGAGGACACTAGCGAATTAAGATTCGCATTGGATAGAGTCGAAAGGGAGAAGCAGGTGGCACGCAATGAGTGCGAGGGTGAACGCGCAAGATTCGAACGTGAGGTTGCTATTCGAACAGAGACACTCCAAACACGTGCCGAGCAAGAAGTGAAGCGCGCAAAAGCGGAATATGCCAACTGTCTACAAGATGCGGAGAAGAGATTTCAACAAAGTTTGCAGAGAGAGAAGTCCAAATTCGCTGAAGCCTTGGCCGAGGAAAAGGTGAGGGCGAATCGCGAGCGTCGAAATGCCTTGGACAGAGGTGGCGGAAGTGTTTTATGACAGTTTGCTGCATTTGTAATAGCTCTTTCCTTCTATGTGTCGTGAAACTGAGTTTATTTGTCACAATAAAACTCAGCTATTTGTCAGACATGTGAAACTGAGTTTATTTGTCACAAATTATAGAGGTTGAAGTACAAGTACTTGATGACGATGGTGAACACCACATGATCTACTGGAATTCAAGTCCTAGTACCATTCTCTTTTCATACTCAGCAGTAGAGAGCCTAGCGTTTCGAGGTGGGAGGAGCCAAATGAGAGGAGAAAGTCCTGCAGCACCTAAGGCAGTCGATGACTCCGGATTGCTGACGTGAGTCTCATTCGATTTAATAGAAGTTAGTACTGGTTGTACCTGTACATCATAGATTTCAGTTCCTTCACGCCATTGCGTGATAGAAAGTTACTTGGAAGTACTACTACAGTGGAAACCTCCGTATCAAGAAGTTTTGGTAAACACCGATCGTTTTTGCAACAGAAAGTATTGGCGCAATTCTCTCCACCATTTTGTAACTACATGCACTCGTGAAGTGGGAATATAATAAGCGAAAAATATGTACTAGTACTCGTACGTTGCCTAGAGGCGCTCGTCGTTTAGTAGAGGTGAACACTCACTGTCTAGAACTGGTGAAAACTCGTTAGGAACCTGTTGTATGCTATATCCGTCCAGATCCAAAGCCAGAGAATCAAATGTCGAACTTTTTTCTGCGAACAAGCACAATAGACGTGTCAAAAGATTGTCATTATGTTTCATAGCACCGACAACGATTTCGGAAGCCATTCCTCCGGTAATACACAACGAGGGGATCAGGGACGTACACATGACATCGTAGATGTTGTGGATGGCAGAGATGAAAATCACCTGTCGCCGTTTGAACGTCTACTTGCTGCGAATAATTTCTCGAGGGGTTAGATAGAGACCTCTGTATTTCGCTATATGCGGCTCACGGATTCGGTTGTCGCTGCGAATTCGGTCCTCGTTTCGGTTCAGCCGTACTAAAGCGACATCGGCTGTGAGCGTATTTCGAGTGTAGTGGATCTGCTGCACATGAAGTTTATTCTGTCGAAAACATGATCGGTGAGGACGAATCAACTAATAGTAATAGGCTTATCATTCAGTCGTTTGATGAGTGCTGAAGCGTCGGTTTGATTCGACATTCGGTTTTCGTAACTCATTTGTTCAAAAAATTCGCGTATCCGCACCTCATTGCGGAGAAAGAGCTACAAAAAAATACGAATGACAACACTAGTCCATTGTGGTCTACCCTAGAAGTACGTAGGCAATTCTTGCTACCAAAGTCATTATGAGGACTTCATAAGCTGCACAAGAAGAATGATGACACCAGCGTCGTGGACAGTGCCTGATGTCTCTAGTAATGGCCACGACCCGGCCTTACTGGATGTCTTTTTATCGAAGATCTATGGGACTTGGACTTCAGGGAAACCCACTTCAGGTCTTGTGGATTTTGTCGTGCCTTTATTTCGCACAAGAACGAGAAAAAGAATTGTGTCACCATCGTCCTCCAGGGGAGTCACGGCATCTTCGAGCTCTTTTGCACCTACTGCGGTCTCTTTCGTGCAAGACGAGGATTACGTGGCACTACCGGTCGTGGCGTCTTCGTGGAAAAGAGGGATGAGAAAACGGAGGGGAGTTACAACATCACTTTCCACCAGTCAGCTATTTCCTAGAAACAGTGTCCAACTACCCGCTGGAACGCAAAAAAAGACGTCCTTTATCCCATACACCGCTGCTGAGAAAAAACAAGCGCAGGCGGACATGGAAGAGAATGACAAGGAATTTAAAGAAGACAATTATGGCAGAATTTGCGACAATTTGATTTTGGATATATTTATACTTTTAGTTTCTCATTCATGCGAGGACGAGGCATACTTTTAGTTTTACTTCCTACTACCTCCTAGAAAGTCTTTTGATGTAACATCTAGTTTAATGGTTTACGGTATAAGCAATAAGAGATACGTTGAAGTAAGTGGATAATGATGATGTGGCTGGTGTATTTAATGAAGACTCTACCCTAGTAGATAGTACCTCTCTCTCTCTCTCTCCGACTCTACTTCATACCAAAGAAGAAGCTGAGGAGGTGATGGAGGACAACAAAGATGCGCTGGAGGAGGAGAAGGAGAAATTGAGTCCAGAGGAGCTTGAGTTTATGGAGCAGCAGCAGAAAGCCACGACGCCTGAGGGACGAGCCGAATTGATGGCGAAATACGCGAAAGATGATATGGCAGTGCTATGTTGTAGTAGAGGCCTAATATATTTAAGTAAAGACAACTCACTGATTATAAGTACCTTCTACCTTTTAACTTCGTCGCTTGGATAGTGTGGGTTACCCCTTCACTGGTTGTATTCATAAGTACGACAACCAAGAAAAGCAACGTTTCTCCGAGGAGAAAAATACTGTAAGTAGATCAAACAAATGAGGAATTTTCAACTTTGTTTGACCTTGACGCATCTCTTCTAAGCAACAAGAGAAGCCAGAGGAGCCTCCGCCGCCACCGCCACCTGAAACGATCGAGCTTTCCGATGAAGAATTGAAAAAGGAGTTGTTGCGCACTGGCATCGACTTGTCAAAAGATGTGGAAGACCAACCCATGCCGTTGGAAGCGGATGTGCCAGAAGCTCAGCTCAGAGGCGAAGTACCACCACTTACCAGTATAGAGGCAGGAATCAGAAAAAGGCGTAGGCGAGAAAGGAAAGCTGGAGCAGGTGTTCCTGAACTCGAATACGTGCCTACACGTGAACCAGACGTACAGGATAGGCTAGATATGCTGGAAGAAGCCTTAGATGCGACTGTCCAAGGCAGAAATGCACGCATGATACCACCAGCTGTGTCCGAAAAACAACGACGTTTACGAAGATGTAATTAGTCAAAGGAATAGAGTGCAAAATTATCTTCAACAGGAAGATCACCTACAATCAAGGACAACTCAAGAAGAAATCTACGAATTCTTTCACATGCAACAGAGGTGGTGGTGGGACTTATTGAGAAATAAGATTTCTACTCGTATGACGAGGACTAGATATCATCTCTTTAGGCAGTGAGTCTTCTCCCCCCGCGCACGACTTTCATTCTCGATCTTGGAGGAGATCGAGCAGAAGCCTCGTATTGAGCAGGACCACCATCGCTTTATGGAGAATGTAAGGCGATCTCAGCCTTATCCTGCGCGCGACGTGCTGAAGCCACCAAGACAACCGCCAAAGCCGCCGATGAAAGTCGTAGAAGTTTTCGAACCTAATGCTGCGGGAGGCACTACTGCGAAGAATAGTGAAGAGGAATTGGAGGGCCTCGGGAAGGCCATTGAGGAGCTGGACGACCGAATTGAGACAGGTGCCGCTAGAAAGCGGGAAGTGCTAGCACAGCTTGAGGCCAAACGCCAAGAACAAGAAGACACAAGTTTTTTTTGATGAAGGCAAGTTGTATTACGAGAGAATCGCGATGGAAGGATATGATCGTTGAGCACATCAGTGGTGCATATTCGAGATCATCTTGGCCTCTGTTGTTGCGCTCATCTGATTTCTGATTAATAAGTAGCGCAACCATGATATGAATCTCGAAGAGTGAAATTTTGGAGAGTCGATGGTCTTAGCTAGTTGTACGACACGTGGAATCGGTATACAGTTGCCGTGTTCAAGAACGTAAACCTAAAAATGAATTTGAGAGATGACCACTTCGTTCGGTGCGAAAGAAAATGCGAAGTTAGCAATGAAAAAAGAATCTGTGTCTTGAGAGTGTTGACGTGAGTTATAATCTGCCTCGCTCTGTGGAGTGCTACTCAGGATGTCTGCCGTTCTATCAGAGAAAATCAATATCTTGCTACTGCTGTTTTTGGAAAATTATGGAATTTACTTGACTCTACATTGTTAAACGCTGTACAGGGAAACACCTCCTCCTTCCCCCTCTTCTCCCTACCTCCGAAAAGAGTAAAATACCACGTATGATTACATGATTATAGGATTTCTACCCCTCTACCCCATCCCTCTAATTGAATATGAGTGCAGATATATATACGCATGCACCTCAATACTGAACCCGCAGAGGAACATGCATGCTAAAAATTAGCCTAAGAAGAAGTTCGATTCGCCTTCTGGATATTAATGTTGGGACGTCGGTTTTGCATTGAACATTACCCTCACTGAGAATACTAATTGATCTGGAATTATCACCACCTTTGTGATTCTGTAACGTGATGGAGCTCCTTTCGTTCATGAGTGTTAGTTTGATAGACAAGACTATTTTTAGATTCAAAAAGATGAGATTGTACTAGACTATTAGATAGAAAAAGATGAGCTCTTCCAATGCTCCTCCTTTGTCTGTGGCGGAGCGCACGCTGCAGCGTCTTGCTGACAGGCAGCACCGTGCTGCACATGAGAGTCCTCATGATGGTGGGGAAGAGCTTCACAGTGGTGACGAGGAAAATCATGTAGATGAGCTTCATCAAAGTGCTGACGATGAGAATGTTGAACATCTTAGCATTGCTGAGAGTCGTGACGACGACGATGGCGAAGCTAGCATCGCGCATAGTCATGAATTTGAAAGTGGCGATAATCATGACGATGGGGACGGTATCCACAGAGGCCTCGAAGACGAGCAGCACCACGATGCTGCTGATCATGATGCAGGCGTGCGGGACACCAGAACCACGACAAGAACAGGACACGAAGAAGGCAGTGTTGTTACTGGACCAGGACACGAGATGCCAGTACAAGAACAAGACGGAAGCAACGATTCAGCTGTAGATGTTGTTGAGGGCTTATCTCGGGATACAAGAAAAAGCAGACCTGTTGTTCATAAGGATGACACCGAGAAGGAGGAGGTATCAGAGACCCAAAATGAAGATCTCACTGAAGAAAAGGCACCCGGTGCTCACGAGGAGGTTTCAGACATGCTGACTGCAGATGCATTACCAAAGAGACCACAGAGCAGGACGACGGGCAGGACTGCGCTTCTAGCAAATGTGCATGTCGGTGCAAATACGTCAGCCAGTATCGACGAGGAGCAGAATTTCGATACTGCCCGTGCGCTTCCGCAGTACGCTTACCAAGTAATGAATGGCTACGCAAAGTTGATGCGGTTGTATGCCGGTTACGCGCACAATACGAGGAACTTGAACCTTAAAGAAGAGGACGGAGGAGCCATGGAACAGGAACGACTGGGTCGAGTTTTGGAAGCCTTACACATCGCACAGGACCGATTGCGAGCACCACTTCAGACGGTCTTAGCAGCGTCGTCAGAGGTGTTTTTTCGCCAGATTGAGACAACCACAGAACTAGCTTCGCAAATGCAACGGCAACGACAAGAAATACAGATAGCGATAGGGGGAGATATCATAGGAGCGGGAGGAGAGGAGGCCATGGATTCCAATGCAATAAGCGCCTTTATTGAGCGTATTGCAGATGCTGTAGTGAACAAAATGGAGAGACGGAGCGGAGGAAAGAATGCGAATGACGAAGCACAATCGTCGAATAAGACTCCTAGAACGAAGAAAACCGATGCACAAGCAGGAACAGTAGGTATAACTGGAACTGGCGTTGGTGTTGCAGGTGATAACATCACTGGTAAGGCTAAATTGAAAGGGGCAGTAGGTGGTCAGCAGTCTATTAGGGATAGCGAACCATATGCCGGATGGATGGCCCATGCAAGGCAAAGATCTGGAGCCATGTTCGAATTAGATCTAACAGGCGGTCGCGCCTTTCCTACTGCAGTTTCTATACCGCGTGATCCGACTACTTGGAATCATGACAGCAGGTTTACTCGGACCGGCACTTCATCTACCAAGGAATCTACTTCAAAGAAGCCTAAGAGGTCATCTTCTTTGAAGATGAACAAAAAAGGTAGTAATAAAAACGGCCTGGAAAACAGCCAATCGTCTGACTCCGCTTCCCCGCCAAAAAACTTTGGTTTGCTCAGACCGTCCTCTCCGAAGAGAAGAGATCCTCAGGATTTTGTTTCTGATTTCTCCCGTCAACAAGCCTTGAACAGACAGTTAACGCAGCCACCCGACGACAGACTTGTGTCCGTCTCCGAAGGAAGGAGGCTGTACGAAGAAAGAAACGCGTTAGCGAATGCTCGAAGAAAACGAGTGGGCGGAGCAGAACAGCGCATGAAATCCCTACTAAATGTGAATAGGAAAGAACAACTCTTGCTTCAAAGTAAAAGCATGCCTGTGGCTGTGGCGGAAGATAATTCGGCAGGCAGTCCAACTTCGGCTAGTGCTGCGAGTGCTCCTGAAGAGATCACCTCAGGTGCTAGAAGAAGCAAGAAATCTAGGAGCTCTGGGATGAAAAGCCGCGTGTCATTTGATATAAAAAGAGTAAGAGGCACCAGCAGAAAAGATGAACAGGTGAAGGTGAGCACCACCTCTACCTCAACGCTTAGTACTTCTTCTAGGTCAACGTCTATTAAACAAGATCGTAGAACTTCAAAGAGTCCAGCTGTACCTCCAGCCTACATGGGTGGTGTGGGTCGTGTTGACACCACAGATGCACCAGGTGGAGAACAACAAGATGCTAAACCCAACAAGAGATATTCGTTTTCCGTGCGAACTTCCTTGCTTGATTCCCGGTTGGCAAGACCGCCACGACCTGGGTCATTAACTGCAGCATCACTTACTCAGCAGGCTGCTGCATTAGACGGAGCGAAAATGAATGACGCCGATCGACATGGAGGTGCAGAACGGTCTTCAGGTACAACTAGTACAGCCGGTACAGATTCTCAAATGACATCCACAGGTGCTTCAGAAGTGGCTTCTCGTGTTCCATCCAGGGGAAAGAGAAACATGAAACGCAATCAAGCCCGCCATAGTTCGATCATTGACAACGTGGTTGCTGCGTCAAAGCCAGTCGATTTCCCTTTGGACCGCTACTATGAACAGTTTTCGCCTGCATTGGAGACGGTGAAACGGATACGAGAACTAGCGGAGGATGGCAAGCATTTTCGTGAAGAAGTTCTGAAACAAGATGAGGGAATTGCTGGAGAACATCGGAAGGACATCAGAGATTCGGATTATGAGTTTGGCATACCCATAGACATGCCTGACGCGGTAAAAGCAGCTGCGGCGACGTCTCCTAGAAAGGGTGGTGCTGCTGCGCCTGCCGTCGCGGGGAAAGCCGGGCCACCAGTCTTAGCGGGGAAAGCCGGGCCACCAGCCGTAGCGGGAAAAGGTGGGCTGCTAGCCGTAGCGGGGAAAGCCGGGCCACCAGCCGTAGCGGGAAAAGGTGGGCCGCCAGTCGTAGCGGGAAAAGGTGGGCCACCAGTCGTAGCGGGAAAAGGTGGGCCGCCAGTTGCAGCGGGGAAAGCCGGGCCACCACTCGTAGCGGGAAAAGGTGGGCCACCAGTCGTAGCGGGAAAAGGTGGGCCACAAGTCGTAGCGGGGAAGGGCGGGCCACCAGTCGTAGCGGGAAAAGGTGGGCCACCAGTCGTAGCAGGGAAGGGCGCCCCACCAGCACCTGCTCCTGTTAAAGGCGGTGCGCCACAGGCCCCACTTATCAAAGGCGGTGCCCCGCCAGCTCCAGTTATCAAAGGCGCTGCGCCACCAGCACCAGTAACGAAGGGTGCTGCGTCACCAGCACCAGTAACGAAGGGTGCTGCGCCACCAGCACCGGTAACGAAGGGTGCTGCGCCACCAGCACCGGTAACGAAGGGTGCTGCGCCACCAGCACCAGTAGCGAAGGGTACTGCGCCTCAAGCACCAGTAACGAAGGGTGCTGCGCCACCAGCACCGGTAACGAAGGGTGCTGCTCCACCAGCACCGGTAATGAAGGGTGCTGCGCCACCAACATCGGTAATGAAGGGTGCTGCGCCACCAGCACCGGTAACGAAGGGTGCTGCTCCACCAGCACCGGTAATGAAGGGTGCTGCGCCACCAGCACCAGTATTGAAGGGTTCCGCGCCACCAGCACCAGTAACGAAGGGTGCTGCGCCACCCGCACCACCAACGAAAGGTGCTGCGTCACCACCACCGGTAACGAAGGGTGAAGGCGAAGCTCTACCTTTCGACCTTGTTGACTCAGGCCGCCGGGGCTCGCAACGGCATGATCATTCTCTTCTTCAGGCTAGTACTAGTAGTACCATAGAAGTCACACCCTCGTACTCGTTGTCCAAAGAGCCTGTGGCCGAAACAGGTAGTTCAGTTCGCGATCTAAAGGAGGAAGAAGCAGAGCGACGGCGTCATGTAAACGCAAGCAGAGATGATCATACACAAGCGAGACCATCAACGGACACTGGAGGAAGTTAGTAGTTGGTTACTACTAAAATGTACTAGGAAAATGGAACGGTAACGCACTTGCGACGAATACTTCACTATACAACTTCATTTTCTGAGCAAAGACAGTATTTGTCAAATCCAAAAAGCATGATTGCCTATCCGTAGAAGTGACAAGAATTTCTGGTAACTACCCCTCTTCCGTTATCTGGTCTTACTTTTGTCTGGTACGAACGAACAAGAACTGTTGACATAATTTATTACTGGCGTCTGATCACCGGCTTCATCTGGAATGCCTGAGGTGCGCGCAGTGGGTGCAAAACTGTTGTGTGTATACAACTTCGTAAAGATTATACAGTAAGCTAGTCTTCAGTAGAGTCACGGTTGGTTGCTACCCTGAACTCTGTTTGTTCTTCGCTTGCTTTCACTGCCACTGCTGACGCAGCTAAAGCGGCCTATAGTACCCCAAGCTGCTGCAGTGTATGAGAGAACCTCTTGCGGCCAGGCTGTCTGGATATGAGCAACGAGATGAAATCGGTGAAATTTTCAAGACGTACTTATTTTCTGTGTGTGTTGACTACGTGGTCTTCAATCTTGATGTCTAGTAAAGGAAAGTACTACAAGCACAGTAAAGCCATCAGGTAGTCGTGCCCTCTTTGAGTGGTATGCATGATAGATCTTCCCATACGACAAAAAGAGCCGTCAGAAACTCGCCATTAAACGCAATCTATCAGGTTGAATTTGTAACTGCAACAAATTGAATTTCTAACAGCGCCTTGCTTATTTATAATAAATAAGTATTCTAGTCGATGATGTAACTACCGTGTGAACAGCATCATTCTACTACTCCTGGCATTTCATTCGCCTTCCAAGTAACCTTTTTATCTTACAACGTGATGGCTTTGGAATGTCGTCCGCGGACAACTCTGACGAAGCAGGAGTTAATGTGAAGCCGGTAGCGCCTGCAGGGGTCGAGGTCGAACCTCCGAAGCTCTCTACAACTGGGTCTACATCAACGCTATTGGGCTCATTACTCCAACAAAAGAGTGCAAAGACCTCCGAAGCCTCGGGAGGTACCAATATCCTTCCCGGCCAAGCTCTAGCTCAGTCAGTCGCAGTGCCATCAGCGCCACCTGATACGGGTAGCGCATTTGCTTTCGCTCTGCGCGGTGAGGTAATGACATCGAACGGGAAAACAGGATTTGATCCAGCAGGTGCCGTGTCCTCCGGTGTTGCGAACCCGATTGCTCCGGGAAATATACCTCCAAACAACCAGATTCCTAATACGTCGGGAGTTCAGCAGCCACAAGCAGTGGGAACAAACGCTAGTCCTAGTGCAACTAACTTTCCGACTGCAGCTCCTAGTGCAACACCTGGTGTAGGTGTAATACAGCAACAGGCGCCAGCGCAGCCTCTACCAGTGCCAGGAACCGGGCAGCCAGGTTTCGGAAACGCTGTAGCATCGCCAACTACTTCTGGTGTGACAGACCCTGCAGCCGCGATTCTACAACAGCCGATAACCGGAACGACATATCAACAACCTCAAGCGACTACAGTTATGAAAATGAAAATTAGACCTAGAGGCAGCATATGCTTCACTATATATGCATGGTGTTGTTTCGAGTCTCTAAAGGTGAGCGTCAGATAAATAACGTTAGAAAATAGATGAACTTGTTCTTTTTTGTATGTTGCTTTTGTCTGGCATCTCGAAAGATCGAGGACGAAAAGCCTTGCTCCTTCTCCGCACCTTCTAACAAAACTGGTGATCTCACGACAGGTTATCAACACCAAGGCACGATGTATGGACAGCAACCGATGGGCGGGTATCCTGGCCAGCCAGGGATGATGAATAGCATGAACCCTTACGCGACGGGCAACCCGAATATGATGCAAAACGGAGGTATGCCCCAGCAGCCCGGTGCAATGCAGCAGGCGGCCAAAGTGCCTCTGCGCGAGGATCATGTGAGGAGAGGAGTGGGATTCATCAAGAGTGAACATTTGCAGGAAGGTGGTCGTAGTGTTGTCGCCGATGGGAGAATTCGGACATTTCTGCTCGAGAAAGGTCTGACTGATGAGGAGGTAACCGAATTAAGGTTTTCCGAATTACATCCCTCACTACCATCCTATCCTTGGCTCCTTTTCAAGGGGGAAATAGGTCAAGAATGTTCTGAAGAATGCAACTCGGCAACCTCTAACTGAAGCCTTTAACCGACACGCTGGCGTAGATGGGGATGCTGCAGGACGGCCGAGCTCGAGTACTGCAGGCGGCGCGTCAAGAAGTATGCGAAAGCGATAAAGCCATCCCTTAAATTTACTCTCACAGTTATTGTTTCGTTTCCTCTAGTCATACAAGACCGAACTAAATCCACTATGCTCATGCGGTTCCCTTCCCTCTAGTCAAAGTCATGCAAGAGCAAGCTTCCCTTTTCCTCTAGTCATACAAAAGCGCGCTTTAGAAGCTGCTTGGGGAGGAGTGGCACCACCGCCGCCATCGGAATCGCCAAGCACTTTGAGTCTACTTTTGCAGGCCACGGGCGCCGCGGCAATAGGGGCAGCAGGATATGCCTGGCTCGTTGCAAATAGCAAAACTGTCTATGAATGGACAGGGTTTAATATAGGGATTGGGGGAGATGGTATTTTTTAGGACGTTCTCACTCTGCTGCTTTCTGTGTCGATGAAACTTCAACAAGTAAACATATTTATGGCATAGCGGTCCTTCCAAAAACAAGACGCGATCTCCTCATTTTTAACATGCAGACTCCCTGAGCAACAGCATGGACAATTTCTGCACACAGGTTCACTCAGCAACAGCGTTTCAAACGAGGAGACAATGGCAGCCATGCGATTGAATATGCAAGCCCAGAGTGAGACGTTGGATGAGTTGCGAAAGCGAGTAGACCGGTTTTCGGAAAGCTATGAGCGGATTGCAGCAGAGCTGGACACGCGGCATGGTGAGATGCTGCAGACGGTTTCAGCACTAACCGATCGCAGGAATGAGGATGATTAAGGGATCCATAGATATGGTGACTCCTTTTAACAATATTAGTCAGCGACGGCCACAGACCAAGAAGCCCAGGCCCAACCAATCGCGCAAACCTTTTACATTTCAGACGATAGAGCACCTCACGGCTACCGTGAAGGGATGCAGGAAGGGCTTGGACTGCGCTCGCTGCTGTCAGTAATTTCGGCGCTGCGTGGGATGGCGACGGGGGGCGAGGACGTCTGGGAGACGTGCGACAGCCGAACGGAGCGAGCGCACACGTGGCCAAATCGGACGGCAGAGTTTAGCTGATAGGCTCGGGCCGAACCTTGGGGCCTGGGGATAGCGGACATTTGCCGGCAATATTCAGCGGGTTGCCAAGTGACTACAGAAGCTGCCGCTGCGCTTACTTTGACGAGCATCGCTCTGCGGCGCCTCTTTTGCCAGTACCAACCCGCAAGAGAGTCCGCGGGCCGTATAATGCTGCGCGCCCTTCGTTCACCCAGGAACGAGCAGCAGCAGCAGGAAAAAGAGGCGCCGCTTTAAGCTTAGCCCAAGCGCGGGCCGATTCTCTTCGTCTGCGGGGGCTCTCACTGGGTTAGCGCAGGCGATGCGAAGAAGACAAGCAGCAGACATGCGAGGGGGCTAACTTCGAAGGAGCTACGGGCGCAGCTGCTTGGGGCTGGTTTTGGTGCAGTCTTGGGCCTTTTCTGTTTCTTTCTCGCGCTGTTTGGGTTGAAACAGTGATCAGCTGGGGTGAAGGCTGCGAAAGTGCCACCGAGTCGGTAGGGGGAAGGTTTGGCGACGGGGAGGCGGCTCGAAATGGGCCAGTGGGTGGGGCGGCTGGGGTGTCAAACTTGCGGGGAACGTGAGGGGGCGCAGGTGTCTGCTGTGTCTAAGCGGAGGCAGGTGATGGGCAGAAAGATGGAAGAAAACTGCGGAACCAGCGGCGGGGGCTCTGCGGGTGATGCCTCCCTCTGTTGGTTGGTGAACTCGCCATAGCTTTGGGCCCATTTTAGAAAGGTGCGGCAAAGTATGGCCAGGTGCTGGCATCGGGAGTCGTCAAGCATGACGCCGCAGCAGTATCTCAGGGCTAGCTTTAGCGGTGCATATTAAGAAAGTAAGTGACCCCATGGCTCGTATCTGCTTGCCGCCCACTTAGTTGGTGCGTGTTTTGCTGCTTGTGTGTGGCTTTATTTTCGGGCGCATTTTTTCTCCGGTCGTCGTGAGAGATGGCCTGACAGAGTATAGTAATAGCGGAGCACTTCGTTGGTTATCCACATATTTTTTTGAACTAGCCTCTGGTCGTCCACTGAGATTGACTAGGCTCTCCACCCTAGAACAGGTAGAGTGCATGAAGAGCGTAACTACTTCCCACCCATCCCGAAGTAGATCCTTCTAATTTCGAACGCGAGCCAGCGATGCACTAGCAGCGTTGCGGAATTTTGAAAAGACGACAGCGCGAAAATTGGACGAACTGCTAAAACAGACAGCGGTATAATTCCATTTAACTGTGTAGCCTTTAGAGCTCCACAAGCTACTACAAATGAAAACCATGATATTGACTCCATTCTTTAATTTATAGAATTCCATGTCAAACTCAAAAATATAGCCAGCCAGGCTAATCAATTACGTTCACAAATGAACAAACTCGTCGGAATTTCTGAAAATCAAGTTTTGAATCTTGTACAGGCTTCTGCCAGAGGCGATGGAGATGCTACTCCAGCGAGAAGTGATGCAGCAGCAAGCGATCCGCGGTTATCGCCAGTAGCAGAGCAAGCCGGATCAAACGGATTGAGAGTCCCAGTTGAACAGAGGTCGGGCAAACAACAACAGGTTTCGATTTGCTTTATGTTTATCTTTCCGTGGAACTTAACTGCTATGTATTTTTGAGGTCAGACAGTTCTTTTTGGTATAATCTAAGTGCTGTCCTCTGACACAGAACTGAACAAATCATTGACGTCCTTAATATCCGATCGAAATCTTTCCACTTACCTAGTTGTACCTGCACCTGACACAGGCCACCTCCGCAGAATCTTTTTCATCAGCAGAGAGTGCTTCTTCCGGTCGTGGAGATGCGTCATGGAAGGCTGAAGTGCGAGGACGCTTAGTTGGCCTCACTGCAACCTATCAAACTCGTCAGGAAGCTGAAAAAATGCTGAACATGCTTTTTCTCATCGTCAACAACTTGAAGCGCAATGCTTCCCAGGAAAAGTATAGGAAGGTACTCTTATGTATTCCCGTCTTTTTGAGCAATACTCTTGTCGAGCCAACATACGGAGATTTTCCTCAAGATACAATTTAGATTCTTCTACTAGGCAGTACTGGAAGAAGATGATACGGAACCAACTTCTACAACAGGAGGACTGGCACGCGTTCGCCATTCCTTGTACAACAACATGAACTCTTCACACTTGTACGTAGGTAAACCCCTACCCCAGTTCCTCGTCTCAGTACTACGCTATGAAGGCACAATGACAGGTAAACCCCAGTTCCTCCCAGTACAAGACTCGGTTAGGGGATAGAGCGGAAGTAACGGAATTTTTGGAGTATGTGGGATTTGTGCGAAAAGAAAAAATCTACGTTTGGGAGATGAATGCAGAGCAGCAACAAGAGTTAGCGGCGACGGATAAATTGCCTATGAAAGAGGGAGTATGTCCTGCCCACCTTGCGGCCGATACGATAAGTACTCTCTCATTCAATCGAGGAACATGTTTGTTACAGTTTCTTTCTCCGATGAATTGGTGACTAGAAGTTTGTAGATTTGCAGTTCAACTCCAAGTTTTCTTACTCGTCAAAAAATTGGAATTTCAATAGAATTGAATTCTCCATCCTACAGCCGAAGCCCTAGCATCTATGAAGGATATCTGGCGAGAGGCGCAAGATCTTGCAGGGACGAAAGATGCTGAAGGTATTATTTTCATTCCCCGGATACGGGTCACTTTTTTCTGCAACCAGTCCTAAGAACCATGATAACCTCCTTAATAAAATGGCGTATTGGAGAGTGGAGATCGGCTTGTCAATCAGGTACCCCCTCATCATCTGCCGCAGCAGTGGACGCTACCAGTGTCGCTGAGGACGGAGGGGCCGCGGCCGTTGAGCAACGTCAACCGAAGATTCGAGACCTGTTGGCGGAAGCAGAGGCAGAACAAGACGGAGATGCCAAGGCATAGCCTAAGTTGTAAATTGGAATTTTTAATTTTTTTGTTGAAGGTATCAAAGGATGAGGAGGTGAAAACAGACGCTTCTCTTTCAGACTGCCAAAAGAGATATAACAAGGCGTGGCGCTTTTGGTCAAGATGAACCAACGGTAAAAAGCTATGAAAAGGACTCCATAGCCTGGTGCACATCCACAACTACCTGAAAAAAATTAAAGCATACTAGAAATGAGGAACAACTATAAATATGTCTTGTAGAAAAGGTCATTGCAGCAGTATCCTAAGCGATACTAGGAAAAGACACCAATGAATCTTGAAATAAGCCAAAAACTAGCAAAGAAATGTTGATATTATAGCCACAACTATCAGATTGGTGCAAGTGGACATACTCATACATCTGGAACAACGCGGACTTGAGAGATTATTCTGTATCTGTCATCCGAAGAATGCTGCTATCAATCTTCGTATTCAGGCTTATCGCAGGGTAATTGATGAATGTTCGTATCGCGAGACATATAGACCCGGGCACCAAAAAAAGAATCGCACTGGTGGCCGCGTGAGTGAATGAAAGAATGGATCTGTAGTACGTAGAGCGCCAATAGTTGTAGGATCTCTGAGCTGGAGACTTTCAAATTGTAACCTCTGTCTAGAGCAGTGAGTTGAAGTTGATGGAATCCGTTGTGTGAGAAGAAGTCGACGGCGAGTTTGAAGGATGATCCTCTGTGAAACCATGAGCAGCAGTAGTAGGCGAGATGATAAGGCTGTCCTTGTAAGTGTGGTCTCTGCAAAAATTTATGATGTTGAGCCCTGTGTCGTGAACGTGATGAATACGAAAATATCTATTTTCTGTGGAGTCTGTGAACACAACTGGAAGCGATTCTGTGAGTCTGAGAGGAGCTCAGGAGGGATACTTGTGATAAGAAGTATCTTTCTACTCAGAATTATCGTTATGCTTATCGATCGTTGTTTTTATTCCACAAAAAGTGCAGTATCTACATGCTATTCATCTAGTATTACAAATACATTAAGAAATCCCATTGACCCCTGTTCTATTCAACTGCCCATCCATTATTAAGTTTTCGTTTTGCCCTCTTCCTTCTAGTGAATTAGATTTTTAACGGGACGCTTCTTGATTCTTCGTTCTTTCTAGAGTCCACAACATCGAACACAAAAAGATGGGAGGACGATCGAGGTCTAAGAGTCCACGAGGCGCTAGAGTTTCTAAAATTAAGGGTCACCGAGCTGCATCCTTCACTACTATCATTCTTGACTTATTTTCCAATAGCAGGAAAGAAGTCAAGGATGATCTGAAGAATGTAAAAATCGCGCAACCTCTAATAAAAAGAGCACCGGAGGTGGCGACAAGAAAAAGCCAAAGAGGAGTGCAAAGAAGAAGGACCGATCTGCATCAAAGAAGCAGAGGAGCTCAACTAAATCTAAAGGAGGCGGAGACAAGAAGTCGAAAAAGTCGTCCGCTGGTAAGGTCCCGTCGAACTCGAAGCCGTCCTCTGGTACGAAGGTCCCGTCGAACTCGAAGCCTTCCGGAGAAGCTAAAGAGCTGCCCAAAGTTATTCCCCCTATACACGAGGATGACGACGAACACGAAGTCGAACAAGGAGAAGAAAAAGGTGAGGAAACAGGTAATATGCATGAGGGAGGAAGCACTTCTAGTTCTACAGACGAAGAAGAACAAGACTCTCTGGATGAAGTTGGTATAGTGGTCTCCCAGGAAAAGGACGAGGATGACAACATAGTGGTGCATGGAAATCCAGCCACTCGTACTCCTGGTGCTGAGGAGGAGGACAATAAGAACAACACCAACTACAAGGCCAAGTCTGGCTTTAAAAAACGCGATAAGCCGTCGTTGACAAGAGGACGCGCGACGTTTCCTGAACGAAAGTCGACGGGAAGATTCAGCGCTAGTAGCAATGTAGAAGATCAACATAATCAACAAGCTCAAGGTGCTGGTAACGCAAGGAATAGTTATGGCTCAATACGATTCATGTCTACAAGTCACATTTCTCCTCATTTCCTTCTTGGGATTTATTGCCAGAAATGTACGCAAGAAATGAATAAATTTAATGGCTTGAGCTCTAAAATAATGCCACGCTGAGTGCTACTGGAAATAAGTTTTCTCCACCACCACGACGCACAAGTACAACAGATACAAGGAAATCTGCTTCACCTCCACCATCAGCGTCTTCTCTGGAGAGGAAGTTTTCGCGCAGGGGAAGTGCCTTAACTACAAATGGTAAAAATACAGACCACGGACAGCAGCCACCGGCTGCGCAGCAGCTTTTTGGCGGAATGAAATTAGGCACTGCGTATCATAGATGTGTTGTAGAAGCAGGTAGAAATACAGAAGAGAAGTCTACTGAGCAGGGAATGATGCCAAACTTCCAAAACACTTCGCCTTCGCCGGCAAGGGATGTTGTAGGAGGTTCTTCAACTTCACCGCGAAGGGATGTCGGAGCTACAGCCTCTCCCATGATGTCTTCTTCTTCTAGACCAACGACGAGTGCAATAGCTGCTCGATCAACAGATGAGGCTCCGTCCTCGATGGTGACGCCAATGAATGGGACGCGGCAAAGGGACGCACCTACGATGATGACGCCGATTTCACGAAGTGAAGCAGATGGCGGGAAAATCCCGCTGCGGCCATCGGGGACTTCATCTAGAGGAGGGGGCCCAAAAGCGTCTGACTTTCGGGAGAATGAACCTGGATCGAGAGCACCAAGCACCAGGGCAGCCCTTTCGAAACGGCTTTCTATTATGACATCTGAAAGTAATTAACTCATGATGGATCTCCATCTCTTCCTTTTCCCTCCCTCTCTCTTTTTGCCCATTCGTTCATCTTCCCTAGCTGCAACTACTATTTCTACAAGCTCCTCTTCTAATACCCACGCCCCTGGAGGTGGAGCACCCTTGCTGCGTGATAGCACCACTGCGAAGGTGGTATTTGCGTCGTCGAGTTCTGGTAAACGCGCGATGGGTGAGTCAATAACGTCAGGAAGCAGACTGTCGAATGGTGTACTCGGTAGGGGTAGCGGACGAGGACAACAGCTACGTGGTAGCACGCAGCTACCTGGTAGCGTGCTCAGGCCTTCCTCCATGGGGACTACAGACAATAATAGTTTGATGAGACCTTCCTCACTGGGTGGAGCAGGAGCACCAGCTGGACGTCGTTCTATTTCTGGCACAAAAGCTCCAGCTTCTAGGAAGCCTCAACGTCGTTCAAAAGATAAAGAAGTTGCAGGTGGCACCGTGAGTAAGTCTTCGACGACTCAGAACACGTTCGCTCAGCAACTCTACAGTAGTTTCTTTGGATCATCTTCGAATGGTGCTACAGCTACGACCACTTCTGGCGTAGTTGTAGCAGAGCAAGACAGTGTGAACGCGAACAATTATAGCTCGAAGCAGCCTTCTTCTGGAACATCAGCAACCAAGACGAACGGGAAGTCCCATCTCGGAGAAGCAGACACAGCTACTGAAGGGTTCTGTCTGAAAATAGACCATCTCGGAGAAGCAGACACTACTGGTACTGAAGAGCAGTGTATTCTCAAAATTATAGGCTCAGCACCCTTGTCTCCTGGGTCAAAACCGGTTGTCGCGTCGCCAGCAGCAACGCCGGATCAATTGATCGGCAGCGCAGGATCCGTGAGTGGAACCGATGCCCCTGACCAAGTGGAAACGATGCCCCAAAGCAAAGAACAAGGTAGTTCCAAAGGTGGACAACTACTAGGTTCACCTCAGAGTCAGACAACAAGTCAGGGTGCTCAACGTCAAGTGCCAGACAGATTGAACGGTTCGGCTAACACTGCAGCCAGTCAGGAAGACGCTCCTTATCAATATCACGCATTAGTGGATCGTATGGTCCTGCAGACACAGGCTTTGGTGGAGCAAATGGAGGAGTCTAACAGGAAGCACAACGAAGAAATGGAGCAAATGAGGATAAGAAGCGAAAGTATCTATAATTTCCTCTTTTAGCCTTATACTTAGAGGACTTTGGTTCGTACTGTCGTGATTGCATACATACAACTTACTGTGTCCACTGTCGTGATTTTGATTCTGATCGATGCCTTACCAGTATCAATCTATGCATAGCTGATGATTTGTTGATCATGTCCAAGAATGTGCTATGTTATTGCCAGATTTATTGTGATAAATATCGAGTCGATTGCTCCTGTTCACCAAGAAAATCCAAATGAATCAAAATATTGTATATACCTAACGCAAACGAACATCCCAATAATAATTATTGAACAGCTGGAGACAGTTCCCTCTACCTGCCACCGGAACTGGATAAGTTGAAGGTTTTTGAGGAGGGACGTGAAGGCGCCTTACGAAGTGATTCGCTGTTTGACGACACAGCCGAAGATTTTATGCCTATGAGGTTGAAGATGCTCAAGGTCGTGGACCGAGGGTATCTTTTTTTTTTGGAGATTTTGTACTACTTGAAATAGTTGTACAACTCTTGTTAAATCTTAGGCTTATCCCTTTATGCGAAATAGTTGTACTACTCAAGTCACCACTCATCCTCGGAGTCGAGCAGGTGCCGGCGCGGCTCGATGTGAAGGATCCATAATCTAAGTAACCTAACCTAGTTTCAGCAAGTGTTGACTCTAAAATCCGCGACTCGGTTAGTTCAATATCAAGCAACTCAGCTATTATTTCGTCGGCACCTCCTTTTTCTTCTTCTCGATCATGATTATCGTGAAATATCAAAATCTCGGCGACACAGGTTTCCGGGACAAACCCCAGTAGACACACCGGCAATGTCCTCGGCGCCGACCTCCGTCATCCCATCTTCCAGAGGGGAAGTAGAGAACAATACTGTGCCTGGAGAACAAGGTGGACAGAATTTGCACAAGAGAATGCTCGAAATCCATTCGGCAGTTGCAAAAGCGGCTCAGGCGTCAGACAAGACAGCTGTTGTCGGAAAAGGAGATAAGGGCGGCAAAGAAACTCAACAAGTGCGGGGACGCAAACCTTCTGTGCTGGTATAAATCTTGTGATAGATTGTTGTACTAGTTGTTGTTAGAAGAATGTGCTAGTGAGAAGAATTGAGTACTCACGTTTTGGCGGAATTTTTTACGCGGGACGATATAAATATATCAAAGTAAATCCGCGGCTACCGCTGATCTTTATCTCCCTCACGACTTCCAATTACAGGGTGCAACTGCGGCTAAAAAGGCAGTCCCACCAAAATTTGGTGGACGAGGTATGGCGTCTACCTCTCCGAAGGGTGCAACTTCTAGAGAGCCACCTTCTCGTGCCAGGCCACCTGCTGCAAAATCACCTCCAGGGCGCACTGAACCTTCTCGTGGAAAATCACATCTACCTGCATCTGGTTCTACTGCTGCTAACAAGAATGCGAAGTCTACTACCCCTGGCGCCGCATCAAAGGGGAAGTCCAGCTCTAGTACTCCTGCTCGTGCCCGGTCGGCAGAAGCTAAGAGTAAAGCACGTTCAAGCACTCCGGCAATTCGCGTTGGCTCTCCGGAAGCGAAAAGTAAGGCGAAAAGTGAAGGTCGAAGGTCAAGAAGGGACTCTGTGGCAAATGGCCTTCAAGACGTTACTAGTACAACAGTGGAGAGGAAGCAGTCTACGGGACAAGTTTTCGATCTTTCTTCGGACAACGATGATGCAAAGAGCGAAGCAACGGTGAAAAGACAACTTTCGTCTCCGGGAAAAGATGAAGAAAAGTTGAAGAAGGATATGCTTGAGCGTGCGGGTTACATTGCAGTGGAGGATCCATTAGGAGCTTCGGAACTTGGCGGAACGAAAGAAGAACTGTTGCTAGCGGAGCCGGACAATGTTGTGGTTCATAATACCGGGAGGAGGTCGATACCCGAAGAGCCTACAGCGTCGTTTGTTTTGCATCATGAGGATTCATCGCCAAAGGATGGCCCTGAAGTAGAATGCGCAGAAGCTGAAGTAGAAGCAATTGCTGAAGGAGAGGATGAGGAAGAGGCACGACACCAGGTTGTATCGAAGGGTTTCTTTGGGAATTTGGCTTCATTTTTTGGAGGTTCTTCTCAGCCCAAAAAGGACACGAATGAGGCAAAGACAAAGAAAATTGTCCCACTTTCTTCTGAAGCGAAGAAGAAAGATTCAATAACCAACAGTCCTAAAGACATCTCCCCGCGTCCGCCAAGCCCTCGAAGGGTTAGTGCGGCGTCCTCACGAATGTTACCACCACGCGTGCCTTCACCGAGGCCTAGTGCTGCCACATCGTCTCCAAGGCTGACACGTCAAGGATCGTCTCCGCGTCCATCTGTGAGTGGGGTAGCATCACCTCGACCGGTTCGTGCTTCTCTCAACGGTGAAACGGATGAAGCCGTAACCTCTTCTCAAGGCCCTCCTACTGAAGACGGTGCAGCGCGTCAATCCCTAGCACCTTCATCTCCACTAGGACGAAACCCTCGACCGTTATCCCAGCCGAGAAAGTTTGCGCCGATACCTGTCTCTGGTGGGGTAGCGAGGCAAGGTCAAGCGACGCCCAAGAGGACTTCCAATGCTCCTACCCCTAAAAGTGGCGGGGTTCTTTCTAGAAGACTGTCGGGTAAAACTAATCTTGCTGGTGTTTCACCAAGAATAAGCAGTCCTACTTCCAGAACTAATAGAGTCACCAGAGGAGCAAGTAATGTGCAGAAGCAGACACAACAGGCTAAGGGTGAATTTGGCACAGGGAATGATGGCACTAATAAGCCAGGAACTTCCGCAGTAGGATCTAACAGTAATCGGATAGAATTCATACAGAGCTCAAGACCCATCGAGATCTACGATCATGATCCGGAAGAACAGCAAATGCAAATGCTTATCGAGCCATCTATCTCGTCACTCGCAGCAGACGTGAAGACGGTATCCTCCGTAGCTAGAGGGGCAATGCCACGAGCAGTGCATACTAGCAGTCCTAGACCATTGGAAGCACTCGGAGGCAACGACGGAGGGGTTGTCGCTGTTGCTGCAACCGAAGCAGCTGAAGCGGCGCCGCCACTTCCAGTCGCCACAAACGCTACGCTACTCAAAGCACCAGGTAAGTATTGTCATTTGACGTTTCGCCTTCGTTTTTGTCTTTATATTTCTGACTGTACGTCTGTCTTCTACATACTACTTCACTCGTCTTCACTCTCTTATTATAGCTCAAAGCATGCTTTGCTCTTTTGCCCAGCCATACAAGAAGTGAGACTTACATTTTTTCTCACCCTCTTTTTTCTCTTCAACAGAACCGTGTCGGCTTATCGGAAGTGGGGTCGCACTAGCAAGTATCGACGATCGATTGCGTCAGCTCGGGACTGATGCGTTGCGCCAAGTGCCTCGACAAGTCATCCGGTCCCCTAGAAGTAGATCACCACCAGTTCAAAAGGCTTCACATGCGGCAGCTGAAAGTGCGGCAGCCGAAAGTGCTCAGGGCTCGGCATTAGGCGACGGCGTGTATATGTATCATCCCTTGTTGGAAAATCCCCAGAATTGGGGTCCGTTGTATGTGCCGGACGTAACACGATTGAATTTGGCCGGACGTCAAAGGCTTTTAGAGCAACGCCTTTTAGGGCTCACTCCTGGACCCTTGTATGTGAAAGACAAGGAAACAGGTCAAGCAGTTGGAAGTGGTTTTGCAACGGACCACAATAAATGCCAGATGAATGATGTGTCGTCTGCAAGATCTGCTCCTGGTCTTGTTGGGGATCTGTATACAACTGCGTCCGCTTCTGGCGGAGCAGGTCTCAACAACGTCGAGCCCAGCACCACAGCTAGCGGAGGTGCACCTACTACAGCGGGCTCTTCTTCAGTTGCAGATAGCCGAAACAAGGCTCTCCTTTTTCAGCCCACGCCACGACAAATCGGACTCACTCCACCACAATTACCCCTTGGCCTTCCAGAGCATTTTACTGTTGGTCTCGGTCGATGGCCCATGTCTGGAAGCAGTGGGCCACCAAGGTTCTTTCCAAACGCACCAGGTCCGTTTCCGTTGCATATAGCACAGACATTCGGCTCAACCTGGAAAACAACTGAGGGCCACACTGTGAAAGGCGTATTAGCGGACCAACTAGCAGAAACAGAAGCGCTTATGCTAAGTACCGGGGGCACACTGTCCGCACGAGCACGACTGGCAGACGAAAGCGGACGAATGACTGGTATGGTAGCTGATGACGACGAGAATGACATGTCTTCGAAGCAAGCCCTGTCTGCTCCAGGTTCTGCCAGAACGCCAGGTCGTGCCAAAAAAGTCGGTTTCAGAAGTACAGGGAAAACGAAAAAGAAGAAAGAAACCGGAACAAAGAGTGGGACTTCTGGTACAGGTAGTGGGAACAAGGTCAAGGGCCGAGGTCGACCTTCCATGAGTGTCGCCTTTCCTGGTGGGATTCTAGCTGCTCATATGGAAGCAAGTCGTAAGAGCGTACACCACAAATTTCTGGCAAGGAAACGTACCAGGAAGGTAGAGGAATTTTCTGCCGCCAAGTTAAAATTGGATGAACAGAAATACATCAAAAAGGAACCTTCCCCTGCGGCACTGGCTCTTCAATCGCAATCCTCCTCAAGCAATATAATTCCAGAGTTACAAAAAGGAGTGGTATCTGGAGTGCCCGGAATCAATCGTCATAGCATCCAAAGGAGCCTCAGTAATCTGGACACGCCACAATCTGCAAGAAGTGTAGAAGACGCTGGTGCCTTGACTCCTCAAAGTGCTGCCAGAATGCGACTTAATATGGAGCCTTTGAGTGAAACTCCTTCGCCTAGAAGCGCCAGACCTATTAACAGTGCTAGAGACCGTGCTAAAAATGGCAACAACATGCTCATGCCGACTCCTCTTCTCACGTCTGCGGAGATTTTGAAGCAGGCAGATTCCCTTCTTCGTGATGCGGAAGCTGAGACCGGGAAAGTGGGTAGATTGGAAGAGCTTTTTGATCAAACGGCCAAAAAAAGAAAGCAGATTTACCAGAAAATGAAGTCCCTCCAACCGTCGCTTAAGTCCACTATCGAAGATACGACGACACCAAGAGGTGTTGCACTAGCGAATGCCATTGCAAGTGGTAATAAAAGAAAGACCCAAGAAGGAGCTGGAGCACAACTATTGATGTCGCCGAAAAGGCCGCCTTCACGGCCATCGTCCAAGAGCGGTAGGGGAAACAATGGTAGTAGGGGTCGTGGACCTTCAAGTCCTAGCTCAAAGTCGAATAAAGCGAGAAGTGTGGCTTCTCTGGGTGGACTTAGCGGCCTGCCCGGAGCTCCACCTAGAAGGACAAAGAAGTTGAAACGTAAAATTAAAAGGAGCAAAAATCCTGGCCCTGGGTCAACATTTCAGAGTGTCATGACTTCTTCCACCAGTGCTGCAGCTGCGGAGGTTATCAGCGATGACGAGTCTGAAGACGACCAAACCGAAGAGGAGCATGACTTAGCTCTTCCTTCTCCCTATGAACTGCAAGAATTGCACGCAGGACAAGGACACCAGGAAGGACAATTGGATGAACTACAGCTTTCTCATCCTTCACACCATTCTCCCCAAGCAGGATCAGGAAAGAACCTAAGCGGACATCACAGGCAGTCGTTATCGTTTGTTAAAGCGAGAGGAGCTTTGTCGCGGAAAGTGACGGAACAAGATGAGTCGGACAGTGACTTCGAAGATGAATTGATGCTCCTGACTGCAATGCCTGCAGTGGCAGGAGTCTCTCCATCTTATCTCCCAGTAGATCGTGAAGCCGCGTTAATGCCCAATGTTGATGGCAATACTTCTACACCACCTCTCACGTCCCCTGCCATGCATCGAGAAGGAGATCATAGCAGTAGACACGGAAGTAGTAAACCTTCTAGTTTGATGCCAAAAGAGCAAGACGATGTGCTTGGTCAAGAATTGGAAGACGAGCACAATGTGCTTGGGCAAGAATTACGCGGAGGACCCGATCCAGCTGATATCGCATTGTTGCAAAACTTCGACAAAGACGTGAATGATTTACTGCGTAGCATGGCAGAATTTGAGCTTGGCTCGCAGGGCGACGAAGCTGAAGCGTCCGGGCTGATGCCACAGATACACCACACCAATATTGCAGGAAAACTAGCGGAAGTATTGCGGGAAGATCATGAGAGCCTTAATACAAGTCCGCGAGCAGTGCTGCAGGATAGCGGAGGTAGCAGATTAGGAGCAAAGTTGGAATCTCCCAGTGGCGGTGGGTCTACTACTGTTCCTGTTCGCTTACTTCCCGCACCCAAGACAGTATTGTGAGTTTCAAATTTTTATTTTTTCCGGGAATGTTGATCGAATGAATACTTTGTACTTGGTTCTTAGATGATCTAGAGTTAAAGGCGGACAATGTGACAACTCACCGGAGCCAACAAGTCAGTGTAGCATATTTTGGATCTTATTTCATTAACGAGCAATAATAGAATTAGAAAGAGAGTATTTTTTCTATTTTTACATTTTGCAGTAGTTTTCTGTATTCCTTCTGTGTAGAACAACGATTGATTTCTTCAAATGACTTCTATGTATTTACCGCGATTACCTACAACAGACAAGCTAGAACAACTGGTTTACTCGAAAAGAAACGTGAAAATGTAGAACGGAAATAACAGATGTAATTCATCAGCCATGGATGATTTGCAAGGGATGCAGACTGACCAATGCTATGAGGAGAAACGGAGTTTCTTAGACATCAAGGACTGTTGTTCATCTTCAGGCAGCACTGCCTTTGCGTCTAATGCAAGCTCTGCGTGTCCAATGGTGATACTCTTATCGGAGAGCAAAAAAAGAACTTTCTGTTCTCTACCCAAGAGAATCGGTGGATTTTTCTTTCAGACCTTGGTTAAATCTATCGATGAGCACTTTTCTATTGGTTTTTCCCTGTGACAGTTCGCGAGTGTTCCTTTGTTTGATGCAAAGAGACGCGGCTCAAAAAAGAGCGACGTTGAGTGTGTGTCTTTGGATTCTCACTGATACAACTTGAACAACATGAAATTTTCTCTTGGTTTCTATTCTTCATGCACGTCTCTGTTGCTCTCCGCACGAAAACAGCAAAACTTCTATGTGATTCTTTTCTTATTCCTTCCGCCCCCGCTGAAGAAAGTTGCAGTATGCCAGTCTGATTTTTTTCGTGACTGACCGATGTTCCTGCTTTGTTCCATCTTTTCTTTGTCAGACAGTCAGTTGCCACTATGTTCTAAATTTATAAATATATTTTCAACTTAAAATAAGTGCAAAGTTCTATTAATCCAAATCCATTGACTAAAATGAACAGCATCAAGAAATTGCGAGCGATCGTGCATACAATTAGCTTACCCCTCTCGTCCCTTTCACGCATGATTGTTTGATATTTTTCCTGTAACTAGATGGATCGACAATATTCAGAAACAACTCTATCTACTTCTTCTAGATCCACGAAAATCTAAGACCACCTGTACTGCAAAGACAAAATGCCTGTCTCACCGAAACCAGCCCGTAGCAGCAGCAGGCGCACCTCGAGCACGGCATCCGCTGCAAAAAACACCAGCAACACAAATACGACAAGCAGTATGCGCACCAGCACAAGAACTACCTCCACTGCCACCAAGATCACAACCAACACGAAGATCATGACATGGAACAGCACTTCTTCAAGCATGTTCCTTCTTGGCAGTGATCGTGTGGTGATAGCCTTGCTCGTCTCGATACTTGGTTACTTCCATTACGTTCGGTTTATCGAGGACGACTTGCTTCAAAATGGGTCCTCAGGTTCCCCGGATGATGCAGATATTGCCTTTTCGTGGAGGATGTTTTCATGGTCAGAGTTTAAGTCTTTACCAGAGACAGTACGAGACCCGGAACTCACATATATGAGCATTTTCGGCTACGTGTTTAACGTTACGTCGGCTCCGCACTTCTACAAGCCGGGTGAAGGAGGATACGCGCTTTTCCATGGGAGGGAATGTAATTTTAGTATCGACTTTGATGACTACATTGATTGATGTTAATTCTCTTTTTCTGCGAGAAGGAGAACAAATGACATTATTAGGTCCATAGGGTTGCACTGATTCAACCCAGAGTTCGTTTAGTGTCAGATTACTCTGATTCAATGCAAAAATCGGTGATGTATCCATCGATGATCCAAGTTATTCTCTGTTTGTACACACTCACACTCTTATCTTTCATCACCAATAAGGTACCCGTTCGATCGCTCTAGCGAGTCTGGAACAAGAGGATGTAGATCGCGGAGTCGATGACTTAGAAGAACGAGATTTGGAAGAAGCTAGGGAAAGCTTTGTGGAGACTTATTTGGCAAAATATCCTATCCTAGGTCGCATACAGGGATATCCTAGCGTACTACAAGCTGAAGGCATAGAAGCTGCAGCAATAGCAGAGGAAGCGGGGTCAGATTTATGTTCTAGGTAGTGAATCATATATGATGTAGTACTAGAGACGAGCAAGAATGAACAGTGTATCTAGTAGCTAATGATGATTCGAAATCGACTCGACGGCTAATCAATAGATCTTGTTTTTCAATGTAGATGTACGTTTGCCATAAGTAACTACGTCTCTCTAGTCATAACTCCATCTCTCTAATCCTCGACGAATTCCTAGAAGCCTCAACTACTCCATCTCTCTAGTCATAACTCCATCTCTCTAATCCTCGACGAAGTACCTGCTCCTGAATGTGAGAATTTGGCGAAGCATCTGGTTGGGCCATGCCGAAGGAAAATTGCGCGAAGGACCGGGAGACCAGATGAGAGCACATCGACTACAAGTGAAAGAAAGAATAGTAAAATATCTTCTTCATCTGCTGCAAGTATAACGGAGAGCAACTCTTCTTCCACTTCCCCTCCAGAACAACAAGCTAGTGAACAACTACAACCTAGTCGTGGTCACATACCGAGACCACGACCCTTCGAGTACGATCCTTCAGATCCGATAAGGGAGCAGGGTGAAACCAAGAAGCCGAAGGCTAAGCCCAAGGGCCAATGTCCTGTGCGCATAGCAGTACAGACAGTGGTGAAGGTGTATAAGGTCATCAAGAATTCAGTACCACGCTTGATGAGATAGAGAATGCTAATTTCTTGCGGGGGTTGTGTCGACGCCAAGTAGAGAGCGAAAAAGAAACTAGTGCTTCGAAAATCGAGTTGTGGTGTCAAGAAGTACAGCTGCACTTCGAAAATAGTTTTAGGCCCTGCAGCTCCGGCTCGTACCCTTCGCTCCGGCACGCTCCCCTAGCTTCGGCACGTAAGTTGACCCTCGTGCTGGCGCGCACTCCTCGCTTCTGCGCGCACCCTTCGCTTCGGCGCCTACTGGTTCTCCCCTCGTTCTTTTCGCAGTTGGCTGCCCGTTTTGCATCGAACAGCAAATACCATCGAACAGCAAGTCGGGATTCAGCAGGTGGACTAAAACGACAAAAAGTAGAGAAGAGAACCAAATGATTCGCAGCTAGTTCCTTTCTCATACTCTTCTGAATCACTCAACATGTTATGATTAATTGTGAAGTATTAAGCAGCCGATAATGATACATAGAGACAAGAGCTAGTCACCGTAAAAATTGTACAAGAATCTTCTCGTGGGTGGTGCGGTTCATACTTCTCATCGTAGTGGCATCAGTATTTTTGTATCAGCGCCGTCTCATCTTCCATATCCAGTGTTCTTGTGTTTAGTCAGGTTTTGCGCTGAAAACGATTTTCTTGGTCCTGCACTATGCAGTTTCTAACGACATTGTTGTAGGTAGTCCTCTTGCATGTACTTGATCCACTGTAAGAAAGCCTCCAGCAAGCGTCCATAATAATGCAGCAAAAGAGTTTTTTAATTCAACACCAATTTTCCGCGAGGCCGAGGGCGCTCGCCATGCCAGGATGAGTGCAAGCGTGAAGGCACTCCCAGACATGAGTAAAGACATGAATGAACGCTAATTCATCGTAATCAAAGCTAATCGTGATGAAATAACACGCCATTTCCAGCTCATCGCTCGAGAAGAATTTCAACATCCACATTGTTACTTCCACCTGCTGGCAACGACGAGCCAGGGTGACCAGAACATTTTGACCAGAATTATCTTCTGTGCAATTATCTTCTTGAGACGCACTTTCAAGGATACTTGCCAACATAGTTTCAAAGATTAGCATTAGCTGCTTGTCCCTGAGGGTGACCATTTTTGTTTGTTCTGTGGAAAGATCTTGTGTAGCTGCTATGATCTATCGCGCTCAAAATCGAGAAGCATTGTGTACAAAGTCTAAGAAGTCAACTCGTTCGAGTAACTACCTACCAGACACAAAAAAGGTATTCATCAGGATAGAAATGTCAAAGGCGTTATGACGTCTGTGCATCAAAACGAATCGCCTTGTTCTGGCGCTCCAGACCCTGTGGAACAGCCGGCCGAACCTGTGGGACAGTAGCCGGTTGAACCTGTGGAACAGCCGGCCGAACCTGTGGGACAGCAGCCGGTTGAACCGGTGGAACAGCCGGCCGAACCTGTGGAACAGCCGGCAGAACTGTATTTATAAGAAGAGTATATTGATTTCAAGCCATGACCGGAGCGCGAGGAAGGATCACTCAGGCTCAGCGATCTCCGAGTATTTCATGTTGAAAATTCAATCGCACAATCTTGCTTCACTTCTAATGTCCGTGACTAATGCTTTGTCGGGTGAGGTATTGCAGCAGCCACTGGAGATCCGTGAGGACGTGACTACGGTCTGGGAACTCAAAAAGCATATCGCGCGTTGCCATCCGGACACTCTGTTGCAGAATGGTGCTGACTTTAAGCTCTTAAGCTCGTGAGAGTGAGATTATTCCAGAACTCCATAATAAATGCATAAATATGTCAGTGTTGCGATCTGTCTCGAACAAGACATGTTGGCCGTGTTGTTCCTGTTATTACTAGTTGGCCTAGTACTTCCTGTCATTAGTATGATGCGACGTGGGGAAAAAGAAGACGATGGGGAATTCTCTAATGACAGCGGCGTGAAAATCTTCAAGACCCCTTGCGATTCGGTTTCGGACACAGAGACCACCGAATGCACACGATGAAATTATTGCCCCGGACCTCGCCGAATACACTTTTCTTGGGCTCCGGGTGGCTTAAGAACCAGATGTAAGCTATTTTTTTTTGCCTGAGAGTGAGAATGAGAACTAGTGCTGTTAAATTTAGCATTAAGTAAGATGCCAAGGAACTACTAATGATGGGGAGATAGTAAAGAAGAAAAGTTAGTTGGTAGGCACACAATGAATTATGCATCGCGAAAAAACCAAACCAAGCTACCCATCATCAAAAACCATGTAACAAGGTGAAGAATCATCTGACGTTCGTCAACTGTTTCCCTCGGGCGGGCATACGCCACGACGCCAGCGTGTATTGGTTCTCCCAGAACAGGACAGTGCTGACAAGCCTGGGCATTTCTACGCTGGCCGAGCTTCGGGATGCCTTTGTCCCCAAGATTCTGGCGAGGGTGGAGAGCAGGATGGGAGCCGGTTGGGTTTACTCTCACGTACGTGCAAGCGAGCTCCCAGAGAAAGAAGGACCCCACACGACGGTGCGCGAGTTAGTCGTGGACATCGTGGGGGAGCGTCAGAATCAGATGTCGTATGGGGATTATTATCAAAAAACCGGCTTTTTTTTGGCAGATCTCATCGGGCTGCGCCCGGGCCAGCACGGCGGGAGGTCACCAGAGATCGTGCACGCTACGCCGGCACCTCGTAATAAATTGGACTGGACAGGCCTCGTGTTGTTTTTCCGCGACGCACCAACAGATGTTGACGCGTCATCTTGCTGCTATCATGTTGTAGTGTGCAACCGGCACCGACACACATTCGCCTTCCACTTTGGGGATCATCACTTGTTGGAGGACGGTCAATTCGCGGGAGGCAACTGGCGTGATCCTACCCTATCTTGATTCAGAGCAAGAAGTAAACGCACACGAATTTTGCGAATCGATCCTGGCGGGCAGCGAATGTTTACACAATATTTTTAAGGCTCTCAGTAATTCATCTTTGACTGCATTCGTAAAAAGTATGAGGGAGTATTCTCAAGCAATGCTCCTCTTCCATACTTTTCAAGGATGCACTTGAAGGATGAAATGCGGACAGTTCTAATATTTCGATCATGTAAGAGGGCCAGAACGTGATGGAAAGCAAGAGGCGTGACGCAGTATTCTTCTTATGAAAAACAATAAAAGAGTAAAATAATATAATCTAAATAGAGCCATTTCTTGCATGCTGCCGAAAAAGGTGTCGCCACTTCTCACTCCTGCTGATCCTTGTTTTGGTTTGATGATTTGTGTATTCACTTTCTTTTCCCTTTTGTTTACTCATTGACTTTTTCCATATGGAATCAAAAAACTTTCCTTCTTGCCAAATCCGGTCATGAACTTTGCCAAAAGAACTGCAGGGGTTGTGAGCTGAAGAGCTGTGATGGCAGAGTAAATTAATGACCCTGCATCTGAAGGTTGACAGAGGAGGAGAAGATAAGAGATGATGAGTTAAGATCTGAAACGATAGAAGAGTCAGTGCCACACGGTTTACAATCTGATCTGTCTCCTGCCTTTTTTCATGAACGATAGAATAAATTTCATGGTAACATCTTCAAGCTAGCATATACACGAATTTAGCGTACTAGTGGTCTACCTTAGCAGAGCCATGGGGCTAGAATACTGCTACGTCCACCCGTTCGCAACCGTGAGGGTCGTGACCAAAAAAATAGTACTTCTCGTCCTCGTGTTCAAGTAAACACTTCTAGGAACGGTTCAACACATTTTTCTTGCATGCTTCAAAGGTGAAGAACAAGAGCTTCAATGAATTCATTGCAAGACTACCAGGAAAGCATTGCTCGAGGGCCCATTCACCTCCAACTTGAGCTATCCCCGCGACTCGTGCTACAGCTTTCATGATGCAGTAGAGACCGAGGCGGTCTGTCTATAGCAGCACTGCATCGGTTTCAAACATCCTCGCATGAAAATAATGTTACTACTTACGACTACTCGTCTTGAAAATACTAATAACTTCTATCACTGCAGCAGGGTGACGATGATGGATGAGTTACAGTTGAGCATTCGTATCACTGCAGCAGGGTGACGATGATGGATGAGTTACAGTTGAACATTACTTCCTCAATAGTTGTCTTCAATTTGATTTGAGCATAGTCTGAGTCTTATTAGTTATTCATTTCCAAGAATATCTAACTAACTACAAGAAGAATGTCGCTCGAATTGCTTGCCCTTCAGCTGTAGGAGCTACAAAAATGTCGGTCGAATTGCTCGCCCCTCAGCTAGTTGGGGATGAGCGGAGTGTCGCTCTCTTCCGGGACTGGGTCCTGTCAGCAGCAGCTCATTAAGGCTAGAGAAAGAGATGCAAGTACCAGCAGTTCAACAACATGGCTTGTTCTAAGATCATGATTTTGATTATCAACTCCCTCTCGCTCTTGAAACTCGCTAGGACCGTGCTTGTAGTACGCCATTAGAACCCCAGTCGTATATCCTGCTTCTCAGAATTTGAGTACGAGTGTAGTTTTTGCTTTTGGTTTATTGATATATATCCTGCTTCTACTACAGACACTGTGCATACTCTTCGTCACATTTCTAACGGCAAGGGGGCTCAACAAACGGTGGTGGCGTGTTCAAGCAGAACGTCTTCACGCAGAGGAATGAGGCATTGGAGACGTGGTTGCCTCACTTGTGTCAGTTGGAAGTCCTCTGGCTCTTACTCCTAGAGGACACAAGGAAACCATCCGAACTGGCAGAAGCCATTGCCCAAGCCTTTGGTCCGTCTTTCATCAAGCTTCTGCTGGGAACGTCGGCGGCAAGTACTAGTAGTGCTGGAAATAGTACTAGTATAGGTAACATAGGAGGAGGTTCTGCTGCAACATCTGCTTCTGCTGGAATAATAGCTGGAGGCTCTAGTAGCTCTAGCTCGATTCTCGGTGACGGTGGGAATGCAGCAACCTCGTCACTAGATGCCGAAGGACAGCAGGCGAGACGTAGAGGTCGCAACTCCACAACAGGGAGTAGGGGAAGGTCTAGGTCTGCTGCAGCGAGGGATGCCGGTAATATTGCTGGAATTAAGGCTTCCCCTAATCATCGATCTTCAGATAGTACATCTTGGAAAAGCTAATCATCCATCCTTTCCCAGAAGAACTCTCTCAGAGCTGTTGTTCCGTAAGGGAAAAAGAGATCCGAGATGAATCCCAAGATGGATTGGGGTGAGCTCTAATGCAATTAGCGAGGACTTCTACCCTGCCACTTGTTCCAATCGTGGCATGGCTTTGCCACTGAGCAGTTTATCGTGGAAATTGCAGAGAGAAGTTTTCCGTTACCTTGAAGTTCCAAGTGCATTGAGGAGACCGCAACAAGAGTTCGACTCCGCGCTCTTGAACTTTCTCGTCGAAGAATTCGGAGAATTACTAGTAACCACGCCATCCGGAACGACATTAAGGCTCACAATGATTCATTTCCGAGCGTCATTCTTCTTTGTAATATGTTTCAGAGGATGATCGCGAGAAATTCGCTTCTTGTTGGCTGCCGTTTTGCTTCTACGGTGATCACGGATGGTCATATCAGGAGCACACACATGACATACTCCAACTACTGCCAAATGTAAATTGATTTAGCTAGTGCTTCTGTATCCTTCAGAGCGTCAAATTCTGAAGAAAGAGAAACGGACTCCGAGAGAACTGAGACGTACTGAGCTCTAACTACAGGCGCGACGCACAAAGGCAATAACCCTGCTTTCGCGAATACCCATTTAATCGTACCAGATGCATTAAGCTACTACCTGATCACCTTCGTGAATCTGATCGTATTGCGTGAGGAGCAGCTTACGCGCATGCTGGATTGCCTGGAACAGACGCGGAGACAGAGGGGGTCCCAAGTCGTGGCGAAGCCAGCACAGTCTTTATGTTGATGCAATGTGAATGTATGTACTTGTACACCTCACTTGTAGGTGATCAAGAACTCAGTTTTGTTGTTGTAATTTCAACGTAAGTACCATGATGTCTTGATGATCAACAAGGATCTTCTCAATATGGAATTAGAAAAATCTTCTAAATAGTCTTCTGACCTAGTAATTCAATGGCCCACGTTCATATCTCAGCAGTAGCTCCTCCCGTTCCGCGATGCAAAATTTAGGAAACAACATGGGTTTTTTGCTCGCGGGGGGACGATCCTCAGGTGGCGGAGGCGCTAGTAGATCGGGTACATCTGGAGGGCAGCAGAGACGTGGTGCCTCTGATTTCGTGTTTACGCACAGACTGGAGAGTAAAACGTACGAGAAACTGTTGATCGACTATCTCTATATCTTTCGCAATCCATCTTCTTCTGGTGCGGGACCAATTTCGGGAGGAGGAGGGGGGCTAAGATTTATTAAGGCTAAATAGACACTCACGTGGTCTCACTATCTCTATCTCATGTGGTGGACCATGGATGCAGCTGAGTGGGTTTTTTCACTTAAAAAAGGTCAGTCAAGGGGACGATCATTTCTTTTAAAGGTCAGTCAAGGCGGTAATTTTAAGAGGGACTACTTGCAAAGGGGTAGGGGAACCAGACTACAAAGGAGATCCACCACAGAACCAGGGATTGATATTGAGTGTCCAGCTTCAAATTTAGCAACTCCTCCACATCCGATGCAGAAGTCGTTAGGAAAGCATCGAGACTGCTTCACTGTCTCCTTTACGATCTGTGGTTTGCTGCGGTGCTAGACAAAGACACGAAAATGCAAATCCATGGAAATATGAGTCGACAAGCGTTAAAGGATGGTAATAACTTTGACGACTGGGTTAATACATGGTTTTTCATCTTACTTTGAAAAAGTTTTCACAAGGAACTTCCTTGTATCAACAGACAGTCATTATTACAATCATTATCTATCACAATCGATGGTTTAGGATGAAAATAATTCCATGCTTTTTGTGTCTTGTGGGGTGTTTTGTTCCTTGTCGTAGAACGTAAAAGGACTTACTGTATTTTTACCTGTACCAATATCTACCCCATCGCACAGAATCCCTCCTCGATCCGTCCATCGATTTGCTGTTGAATTCCAGCTCGCTTGTGGGCTCGATGCGGATAGTCTTGTTGCATTTGCTGGCTGATCAGAACTGTGATGCGGTGATGGTCTCCGGCTTTGTCTTCGCGGCCGAACGCGTTCTAAGGAAAATTTTGGTTATGAGACTTGGACATGAGATTTTTACTTTGTTGTTTTGATGGAATGAAGTTCAAGTTGATGTAAGTACCTGTATGTGTATACCTATACCCGTAACGAGTACGTTTGCTTCGGCCTTCAACGCTACGCAGTGGGATGATAGAATTTAAACTACCTTAGCTTGACAAAATGACAAATCAGTTCGGACGGGTCACCAGGTTTTTGTATTTAGAAGGAATCAATAGTGGGTGCTGCTCGCTAATTCCAGTTGCGAAGGACTCAACTTCGACGTATTGATGCAGGTGATGCGGACGTGGCTGGTTTTGCTGCAGCCATGGGGTGGGCAGTATCTCTACCCGTATTACATAGCAGCCTATCAGACTGATCGAGAGACAGCGAAACTTGGTACACAGATACATCGGTAGTTTCTTTAAGGCTATTGACTACCCTACTACTACAGAGGTTTGTCAGGAACGGCATCACCAGGGATACACACAGACATACTACTTGTAGTTTTAGAGCTATTAATTCCGGGGACTGAGTCAATCGCACTGTAGATTCATGATTATGTCTTTTTATTCTTATCAACCTACCACTGAGGTCTCTTTGTCTTTCGTGTTCTCGTCACCAAGCAACTGTCTCTGGTGTCTACACATCACTTTTCTAGCAGGTGGCACCCGCGCGCGTGAAATGCTAAATGCAAAGCAGCCAGAGGAGTTTATAGGATTAGAAGCGGAGAGCTGGACCCACTTTAGGTCCGGGAATGATCGATATGTCGTCCATTCGCGAGCAAAAGGAACGCACACACGCATGCGGAACAGCAAGACACATTAAGGCTTCATCTGGGAAACCACCTTCTTTTTTCGGCATCTTTTCGATATAGTACCCTTTTCTTCACCCTATAGAATAAGAACACAAAGGAACCAATAAAGGGGCAGAGATGAGAAGACCCACCGAGATGAATACTAAGGGGAGACTCCTCTAAACACAGCAGAGAGTAGTACTGCCAGAGCTGACGTCTGGCTTCTTCGGCCGCAGCGGACTGCTAGATGATTTGCGCTATTTTTCGATGAATGAATTGCAAAATTTGCTAGACGAAAATGTTGGCGATGATTTCGGAAGCACCATATCCGCGATGAGGAATGGTGGTGCAAATGCAAGCTCTTCTTCTGCAGCTGCTAATCAAGTCAGCAGTGTGAGTAGGTCTAGTTTAGACAGCACAGGAAGTACTAGAGGTATGAATTCATCTACAGCGTCTTTTATTGAAGGAAATCCAAGTGGGAGGATGGACAGCGGCAGGATTACAACTCAAGGAGGTGAAAAGACAGGAATGTCAATGTCTTTTACGGGTACTAGGTTTTTGGTATTGTTCCTATTACCCTTGGTTTTGCCTCTGTACTTAACCTTAAGGGTGATAGGCATAACCAACAGGGCGGTAGACTAACAGCAAAACCCTACCTCTAAGTTTTCAAGGATGGGCACAACTAGCATAGAAGGTGCAGCTGCGAGTAGAGAAGAAGGCTCCAGTTCTAGCAGTTTTGGCAGATTTTTTGGTTCCTCCATGATGTCAGGCAGTAGTGTGAAGGAATATCCAGCTGTCTATCCCGGTGCAAACATGATACCATCATTAAGGCAAGTAGCTAGAGAGCATTCTCAGGGGCATCATCCTTTAAGGGGAAGAACAAAAAGGGGAGCCTTGGCCTCTTTTTCAAGGGGAAAAGCCTTGGTCTCTTTTTCAAGGGGAAAAAGGTCCCAGGGATGGCCCTCTCAGGGATGCAGCGACGCCGCACCTCTAACATCAGTTGGAAGCACTCCTGGGTCGATGGCTTATTTCTCAAGGGGAAACCTCAATAGTACCGGAGCAGGAGTGCCCTCGCAATATGCACCAATAGGGTCATCGATGAATCAGTCACTAGCTGGTTCCGCACAACACGGTGGAAATTCGTATCTCTTCTCTGCTGTTGGATCGAGAGCCTTTCAACCGCAATCTATGTTCCAATCGGGTGGAGGCCGAGCTGCTACAGGAGGTCCTTCTTCTGCTCAACAAAGACAGCAGGACCGTGGTGGAACCTCGGAAAGTGGTTTTTCAATCGGCAACTTTGTGGAGCGGATGTTAGACCGCCTCTTATATGGCCCTTCCGCAGAATATCTCATGTATGGGCCAGGGGGAGCAGACTCTTCAGCGGCATCACTGACAGGTACGAGCAGCTCGTTTGCTGATGTTGTAGTTGGGGGATCTTCTTCATCTGCTAGTACATCTTCTGGAAATTATGGTACATCTGCAAATCGAGGGACGAGTTCTTTCGGGGGATGGTTCCAGGAGCAAGCAGGCTCGCTTTTCGGACGCTCCACTGGTTCCGGAACTGCTGGTTCGGGAGATAGGCCCACTACAACTACGTCGTATCCTAGTTATTCCTCCAGATATCGCCATTATGTTGCCCAGCATTGGTCTCTTTATGGTATGCTGAAGCTTTTCTTGCGGAACGAAGTGTTTCTTAAATTTGTCGAAGAAACTAGTACGCAATACCATCGAACGCAGGGGCTATCGAACGTTTTTGTCGGTGGGAAATTCCTGAAGCGATATCGACTGTCTGGCCTAGACCAAATACACTTGTACAACGACTTTCTGTCGCTCGTTTTTCAGCTCCTCCGCTGTTTCAGCGATGCGCCGTTACTCCAAGCGCTCTTCGCAGCACAGCAGGACGGCTCGGCGCATGCGTCACACGCTCAACTAGCATATGCGGAAATGGATGCGGTACTAAATAATCTGATTGAATGAACACGGGAAATACGATTCTGGTACTACTTGAGTTGAAGGGATGATCTGATTTTACGATTGACACGCTGAGTTTGTTGCGTCTCATATAATAAGTCAGTGGCATCATCACTGACCAAATAAATCGTTGTTGCCGCCTCTCCAAAATTTAGCTTTTCCCACTTTCACTTCTCTCAAGAAACTATGAAGATCTTAGATATATAAATATAAATATATTCAGAAATGTCAGAAAAAGGCACTCTTTACACCTCGACTCTTTTAAAGTCCTAATCAATAGTAATTTCTGTGACATATATTAGGATTACACCAATGTATGTACCAGGGAGGGAGGCCCCCCCCCCCTGTGGATGGATCTGGGGTGGACCACGCCAGAGGGGTCCAGCCTGGCCACCTTTGCGCGGTCTGTATGGTTGGCCACATGCAGCACGCCAAGGGGGTGGGTCCCGCCTTGCCTCCTCTGCCAGCTCT